GGTTTAGTCCTGGTTTGGTCCTGGTTTAGTCCTGGTTTAGTCCTGGTTTAGACCTGGTTTAGTCCTGGTTCAGCTCTGGTTCAACTCTGGTTTAGTCCTGGTTCAGTTCTGGTTTAGACCTGGTTTAGACCTGGTTTAGACCTGGTTTAGTCCTGGTTCAGTCCTTGGTTTAGTCCTGGTTTAGTCCATATACTGTGCAAAAGTTCGGCATCTTCACACAGTTCTTTTGGTGAAAGTAACTTAAAGTACTGCAATAGTAGAGTAATGTCTTACATTTTAAATGCAGTAATATTGTAATGTAATGAAATACTTTGAAATGACAGGAACAAGTCACAAATAACACATTACAGTTTTGAAGTCACTTGCCCAAAAGTGGTTGTTGAAATGCAATTTTTTTTTCCTTTTTGAATGTCTTGAAGAGATCTTAGTGTGAATCATTACAGTCAGAACAGAAAGAGTTCAGATGTAAAAGTTTTAAATAACAGTTATTTTGTCGTGTTGTCTGCATGGAAATGGAAGGATCATGTTCTCTGCAGGTCACTCTGTTTTACTGTATTGTACTGTATATTACTGTATATTACTGTATTGTACTGCATTGTCCTGTATTGTACTGTACTGTACTGTACATTTGTGGATACCACATCACAGTACTTCAGTTCCATCCAAAGCAACAAACAGAAGTGGGAGGGACATGTTCCAGTTTGTTCCTGTAAAATTCAGCTCCACATTTATCAACTGTAAAGAGAAAAAAGTATATTCTAAAAACATTTATTTATTTATTTATTCATCAAGTCCTCAAGTCTGAGTCCCAAGTCACTGACCTTCAAGTCCAAGTCAAGTCCCAAGTCTTTGTTCATTTTATCAAGTCTCAAGGCCTAAAAACAGTGACTCAAGTCTGACTCGAATCCAAGTCACGACTTGCAAGTCCCCACCTCTAGTCCTAGTATCAGTGTGTGTACAGTATTTGCTCAAATACTGCAATGTGAAGTGTCTCTGAGAGTCAAAAAGAGATACACAAACTAGGATGGTTCATTTGATATTCATGTTTCATTTAGGAGTAAAATATTTTAGCGTAAAAGGAAAATGCATTTTAAAATCTTGTATTACACAACATTGATTCTTGTGAGCTTTGACTCATGTTGTAATGTTGTTACTTCCTCAAAAAAAGACCTGGAGTTGTGTTTGTTTCATTCACCCACGTCTGAGTAATCTTTTATTATTAGTCTGTCTACGTGCTTTGTATCACCTCCAGTGGTAGTTTTAAAGTTAACAGCTCCATTTTCCCTTTTATTCAGCAGAGATTGGCAATTCAAGGACTGAAATTATCCATGATTCTTGTAGGAGCATGGAATTTCAGAACACAGTGGAGCACTTCCTGTATTACTACATGACATCACATGGTGGAACAGAGTATTTTCTGTTTGAGAGAATCCTAAATGTGCGGGATTTGTGTGTTAAATGCATGTGAATGAAATAAAACACAACTCCAGGTCTGTGTGCAATGAGGAAACAACAGAACACAGAAAACAGTGTAATATCTGGCCTTTATAGTGGAGCTACTGGTCACTGTGTTTTCAATCAGCTTTGTTAAAGACAGCACATTAAAACACTACATTCAGAACAGTATAATAGATGCTTCATTCATTTGTCCTGTTCTGAAGTGAACACAATCAGAAAAGCTTCAAGAGGCGGCAGCTTCAGTCACTTAACGGTTTACACAGAGACACCGGGGCTTGTTTTGAAATCCTGACTCAACTAAAATCTCATTATCCTAATAGCAAGTGAGGACAACTAAGTAATCCACTGCCTGAATAAATTATGAACTAAAAACACTTTTCATTTAGGAAAATAATTATGCGTGTTCTTAAATGGCATTGACTAATCTGCAAAGGATTAATGTGATTTTAAAGTACAGATTATAACGACAAAAAAAACAGACTTCTGCAGAGATACTGAGTTTGCATCGCAAAAAGGAACACCTACAACACAACACAATCTAAAGGTGCACTATGTAACTTTTCTTAGGGTTGTCCCGATCTGATCACATGATCAGAAATCGGCGCCGATCACGTGACTACAGACTCGATCCGGACTCGGACATTATGTTCCGATCAGGCATCAGATAAATAATATACGTATATAACACACAGCGCACACAGGACACACAGCACACAACAGGTTTTATTTTTTTAACTGAGGCGTGGGATTTGCTCAGGGACATTCAGTTAGTACGACTGTCTGTCCCAGCACCTAGTGGCTTGTGTTCACACCTGCGCAGCCGATGGCGTCATCGCACGTGCGCATGTTGCGCACCGGAGCTGACGCTTTTGGCGGAGAGGGTTCGTGCAGCGGCGTGGAGTGTCTATTGAGCGGTGGGACCAATGTTGCGGTGCGCTCCGCTGTGGGTTTGTGGATGTGGGGAAAGCCGGGGGACAGAGGCTGTGGGGCTTCTGTCATCTCGTTTTTATTTGGTAAGATTTTGTATTATTTGGAGATCATAGACAGGCCTAAATGTTTCAAATGTAATGCACAGGTTTCGATATAATATCAAATATACAAACTGTAGACTGTGCAGAGTCGAGTCTCAGGTCTGATCTGATTCTGGTCTGGTTCCTGTTTTGTTCAGTTCATTAAGTTTACTAAGTTACACATTTCAAGACCAGACTGTGAAAAGTCAAGATTTTCAACAATGATGGTGAATGGTTAGAAAAGTTAACAAAATTAAACTTTTGGACATTTGATTTTTCACACTAAGTTCAGCCCAAATACTACACATTGAAATCACCACAATCTGATCCCCTATACATCCTGGATCTGATTCTTTGCTCTTAGTGCATTTCATAATGTTTTATTGAAGTATCAGTCGGGACTCGGTATTGGCAGATACTCAAAATCAATTGACTCGGGGGGAAAAAAATGTGATCGGGACAACTTTTCTGCTTGTGTCCATGGTGATTTTTTTTCTTTTCACAGAATTGTATTAAGTGGAATCTATCCCCACAAAAACAAGAAGAATATTTCAGTTACAGGTCAGATCTGAGGAGATGCAAGTCTGCTCACTATTAGGATGCAGGTTTTTGAAGGTTTTTGAAAGCAATATAAATGGGTGAACTATGTTGCCCAAGGACACGACAACAGTGTGCAATATCTGGATCTGGGATTGAACCACTGACCTTCTGGTTGGTGGGTGAAAGTTATAACAGCTTAACCACTGTGACTCTGAATATATGAGAAAAACAAGACAAGATTATAGTTTGAGATTCTGTACCTGATTTAAAGTAATGACACAGGGACAGTTGGCTGCCTCCATATGGTCCTCACCCGGGTAAATGCTTACATAGCTAAGAGGACTGTCGCAGGACATTGCTTCCATATGGTTCTCATCTTTCAAAACGCCACCAATAATTTTTTTTCAGAACTAGCTCATTTTTCAATAGACTGCAAGGAATCTTTCCTAGTTCAAGTTTTTATTTTCCTTTTTTACTTCCTGGCAGGGGCGGTTCTAGGGGAGGAGCCACAGTACCTCTAACCTGATTGGCCCCTGAAGTGCCCCTGTTCTGTCAATCAACTGATGAGAAGACCAACCGGAGAATTCAATGATCACTGATGCAGTTCCACCCCCAAACTCTTGGTGGCAGTAGACCTATTGTGTCAATACAACTTAATGGGAGAAGAAACAGACCTGTGGAGGGCTTCTTTTTTTTTTTTTGTACTGTCTATACTTGTATTTGCAGCGCATTGAATTAATCCTTTATGTGCTTGGATGTTCCCTGTACTTGGCCCCTGAATGTAACACGTGGCCCCTTAATGGCCCCTGTTTCAGAAAAATCCTTGAACCGCCACTGCTTCCTGGTTGAACATGGCCAGCAGATGTGACATACGTAGAAATAATTCTACGAATTGATGACGTAGGTCCTGTCCACACTAGTATGTATTCAAGACGTTTTGGTTGTGGATTCAGTGTTCATCCACACTAATCCGATTGAAAACGGTTCCAGAGACAGAACGATCTGATGCTGCCAGCAGATCTGATCCGGCACTGTGTGGACACCTGAAAACGCTGATACGCAGATGTAGGTCTATGCGCCGCGAAGTAATTCACCACCAAAACGCTAAGAGACTAGAATATAATCTCTGAAGAGTTTAATATGAGCCATCTCCAATGCAATAAAAGCACAGAACAGACTCACCATCAGCAGAACACCCCTCTGTCACAGAAAGAACACTCATATTCCACTGAGTCGTGTCCTTTAGTCCAACAGAAGCTTAACCGCATCAGCGCACAATAGTGAGCTGTTTTTTTGAGTGCTTAGTTTATGCAAATGAGCCATGTGGTTTTAAGTTTTGTTTCTGTAAAATGTAAACAAATATGCTCAAAGCTGTGTGGATAGAGAAGTCTTGCGGACACAAAAACAATGTGTATGGACACAGATCATTTCCGATACGGTGATTCGTTTCAGTGTAAACATAGCCATAGAGAGGGAGTCTCTCCACTACTTTGTGTACTTTTTTTTTCCCCCCACAAATTAACTTGTAAAACTATGATCAAGATTGACCACAATTTTATCATATTCAAACTAAGTAATAATTGGGGAAAATATAAAAACCTCAATCATGTCACACTTTAAAGAAGTTTTGTTACACTTCTACAGATTATTAATTGCTGCCATTTTGACGCTCTGACCGCCCCCACCCTTTCCTCTCCATGCTAAATCACATCCCCTTCATAGCATTAGCAAACACAATCAGCGTGCATTCTGATAATCAAACTACTGCACATTGTGTCAGGTTTGTAGTGTTTTGTTTTGTATCATATTTATGGAAAATTGTCACGTGGTAGCATAAGTGACATAGGCTTGTGGGCGGAGCGTTGGCCAGGCCTGTACTGCTCACCGTTGGGCCAGAGAGATCACTAAATTACTCAAATATTACAAAAGGCTCCCTAAAGTCGATTTTGCGTAATACCCTCTCTTTAAGGTAAGACACTATGAAAGCCTCACCTCCGTTCTCGGACAGCTTGCCGCGGTAGATCTTGTCCTCCACGACGTCGGTCCAGTAGAGGGCGCTCTGGCTGAGGTGGAAGTCCAGAGCGATGGTGTTCCTGAGGCCGGGCACCAGGACACTGAACTCTCCTTTGTTCAGGTCGATTCTGCGGATCTCGTGTCGGTTTGAGAAAATGATGAACGGTTTGAAGGGGTCTGGAGGAAAAATGGATGAGATTCACATTTTAGTACAATACAAAAAATCCAAAATATTGCAATTTATAAATAATGAGAAAATAAAAACTTATTTATATTAAAAAAAGATAAATCCCAAGAGGTTAGAGGAGGGTTAGAGGAGGACAAAGTAAACATACATTCATTCTCCATAATTCTGATTAGTGGTACTCAAAACTAAATTTAACAATGGGTAAACAAGTGAAGTTCAGTTAGGAGCAACTAGTTTCGACAAAAAACATAAATAACTAAAGCTTTCAACATCCATGGACAGACAAAAGGTCATCTGACTAAAAAGTTAACTATTTTCAGTTAGTCAGACCATAGTATAGACAGATTCAACAACTTGGAGCAGTGCATTACAAGCTTTTAAATGATAATTCAGAAAAAAAATATAAATTAATATTAATTATGGGTCCTGTACCCAATTTTGTCACATGTATCTGAGTAAAATTAGACTTGCTCCAGTACAGATCTATTGTAAAAGCAGCTCTTAAGGTCAGAATTAGTCCACTGGTTACCGTCATTTAATCATGAAGTATTTTATTGTCTAATAATCAGGAATTGCATATTAATTGTTCTTAGTTTTACACATTACTTATTCTTAGTTTTACACATTACTTGTTCTTAGTTTTACACATTACTTGTTCTTAGTTTTACACATTACTTGTTCTCAGTTTTACTTTAAGTCTACTCCACTCCACTCTGATGTGAAAAGGACCTATAAATGTATTAGGATGCTCTGAATGCATGGGGGCATACTAGAATAAAGTGTAATTGCACATCCACTGCAGCAGTTGGCAGTGACACTCTCATTGTCAGAATGTGCGCGGAAAGTATTAGCGCTACAGTGTTGGGTTTTTTGCAGAGAGCAAACGCACACAATGCACACAGCAGGAGATATGAAGTGCAGAGAACAAACTGTATGTAAATTGTATGTAGCGCTCGGCTTCACTGTGAGTACGGCGGGAAACGAGGAAAGACCGGTGTGTTTACTGTGTCTAAAAATGTTGGCAGTGGACAGGATGAAGCCAAATAAATTATGCCGTTGCTTAAAGACATTGCACCCCAATCATGCTGATAAGCCCCTTGAGTTTTTTCAGCGAAAACATGCAGAATATTGCCAACAATCATTCAGCACAATTAGCATTATATAAGGTGGCGACCAAAGAGCAGAGGAGCTGATACTGCTGCTAGCCTGCATCATCAGCCGGTTTCACTTCATGGAAACTACTTTTTTTATTTAACCAATCACTGCTATTTGGTTGTGATGTATGTAATGCACCTAATACGTAGGAAGAAGGGCAATAACATCTTTGCCCTTGATAAAATTCACGAAACTTTCTGTTTGTTCCAGCTTAAAATCTTCAATCTCGGGAATCGTTGCCAACACAGAATGTCTGGCATTCGTCCACATTCCGCTTTGTTTACTGTTGTGCTGTACCACAAAAGGGACCCAGACAGGCGCAACGAGTTTGATGTCATGGCTTCACAGCTCACAGCTGATTGGCCGGTGCGCGGTCTACAACTTCCAGGGTTCTTGCAAACTGTCTAGTGTATTCTGATTCTTGAACTAGTCGCTGGAGAGAAATGAAATTGAGCGGAGGCAGTAGGTGGCGACAGTCTGGCTATACTGCGTGTGTCCCGGGAGTCGTTTTGGAGACGCGACTACGTTTGCTCTCGTATGTAGGCTACTGAAAGAGAGGGTGAGATTTGTCCACGTTTGGTAGTGGTTCTGTGGAGGGAGGAGTGTGAAATTTTCTTCTTCCTGGGGGGGCGTGACAGAAAATAATTGAGAAGCACTGGCATAAGGTAGGAGAGGAATAACTTTGGACCAATATCAACTGTTTAAAATGATCTTGTTCTGTTTTTCACATGTTTAAGACAGTCAAAGTTTGGTGCATTGCGTTTCAGTTAGAATTATTGAAATATGTTATAAGTACTTAAATATAAAAGCAACTTATACTGTCAATCCAAACCGTTCACTATGCTACAAATGTTGTGAATCCGGGCCAGTAACCAGTTTCACACAACACTGCATGTCTTAATGGCTTGTTATTTCAAAGAAAAGCCTTCTGACAATGACATGGACAACATTGATCCATATATATTACACTTCCATTGCTAACTAACTTCCCCAGTGATAATTACTTTCGATTAATGAGTCTATTACGTGACAGTTGGTATTGACTCTGCCGTACAGTATGGTAAACGTGATAGAGAGACGCACGCAGCTTAAATCAAAGCCTGGTTTAAATCTGTAATCCTGCTTAATTAAAAGCTGTGTAAATATGAGTTATCTGCAGCTCACAGGCGTCTGCACCAGTAATCTGCACTTTCAACACACACTGAGTAGTGATGGGAGATGAAATACGGTTTAATATTATACCTGTCAACTGATGGATTGGACCTATGAAGGACTTTTAATTAAAATGGTGGACATAACTGTTGATTATACAGAGGTGGTAGTATGTTTTTTTAATTATAGAAAACAAATATCATTCTTTTTAGTTGGGTCATAAATAAAATCACAGTTACTTAATCGTCACTTAAAGGTGCATTGTGTAACTTTTCTGTTGGGGTGTGACCATAGATTGTATGAAGAAGAGGACGAAGGAGTGTGGCATCACTCTTAGCATTCGACTGATTTGGCAGAAGGCGGTTGCTTAGTTAGCTGTCAATCAAAACTGGTGTAGTAAACTCGGATCAGTGCAGCAGGGTGACAGTTTTTCACTAGAAACTGAATTGGATCCAGAGTCAGTGGAGCTGAATCACACCCAAGCTCAGTTCCTTTTGTAACGCATTGCTTAGCAGGTTAAGTATGTCTATATACACTGTTGGGCAAGTTACTTTAAAACTGTAATGTGTTATTTATGACTTGTTACTGTCATTTCAAAGTAATTCATTACATTACAATATTACTGCATTTAAAATGTAAGGCATTACATTACTATTGCATTACTTTTAAGTTACTCTTATCAAAATAACTGCGAAAATACTGAACTTTTGTGCCGTATATGGACTGAACCAGGACTAAAACAGGACTGAACCAGGAGTAAACCAGGTCTAAACCAGGTCTAAACCAGGTCTAAACCAGGACTAAACCAGGACTGAAACAGAACTGAACCAGGACTAAACCAGAACTGAACCAAGACTAAACCAGGACTAAACCAGGACTAAACCAGGACTAAACTAGGACTAAACCAGAGCTGAACCGGGACTGAACTAGGTCTAAACCAGGACTGAACCAGGAGTAAACCAAGACTAAGCCATGTCTAAAACAAGAGTAAACCAGGACCAAACCAGGACTAATCTTGGACTAGAACTTGGAATCTAGGCCCACCCCTGAGAGAACCCCCGAGCATGATCAGGCATCAGCTGCGTTTAGCTCCGTGGAGCGTGGAGTTCTGCACCGGTCCTCACGGTCTACGCGGGTGCACCCCTGGCGTTTCACCGCTGCTGATATCGCAGTGATTTTACTGAACTTGTATGAAGAAAAATGAAAAACCCACCACTTCAGTCCAGGTTTAAAAAAAAGCATTGTAACGCGCGTTACTGACATTAGTAAGGAGTAAAATATTACCACTTTTTCCCCTGTAAATGCCGTAACATTACTGCATTACAGCAAAAAGCAATGCATTATAGTAATTTGTTACTTTTATAACGTGTTACTCCCAACACTGTCTATATACTAGGGCTTGGTATCATTAAGAAGTTGCCGATACGATACATACCTCATTACATTGCACTTTCAATTTGATTCGATATATTTCAAAACAATTCGATAGGGTTCAGTAAAAAATAAAACCTTAATCATAGCTGTGATACTAAAAGTCTTTGTTAAACCACTTTCTGTGCAAAGTTAATATGAAAAACACAGATTTTAATCATCAAAATAGTGAAAATGTCAAATGTGCTGCATAAATGAGTTTCCTCCCTCTGAACTGAAGCAGCAAAACTGTAGCACTGTAACAAAATAATTTAAAATAAACCAAAAAATACTCTTGGCGATATATCGATACAGCAGCCCACGATATCAATACTGTATCATCACATTAAATGATACGATATATCGATATTTCAATATTTTTGTCACACCACTACTACATACAGTACACGTCTTCAACAACCTCGGTCCTGATTGGCTCTTTGGTTGCTATGCTATACTCGTGGGTCAGAATTCCAAATATGTAAGTCCAAATTCGCCCCCTATCGTTAGCTTCGATGAGCTTCATTTGTCTGGAACCAAACACTATGGGTGACGTCACACTCACTTCCTTACCGAGTCTGTGGCTAAAACATGTATTCAGACTGAGTAGGATTGCCTCTCCAGCGATCTAACCTGTACCTTGTCTCCATGCGCATACATAAGCTTAATGCTAAAGTAGTAGCAGTGGAATTCTAGGCATATCCTGTATTCAAAGAAAATATATCTCCATGGAAACAAGCTGATGGCAGATACCGCACCAGAAAGGTTACATAGTGCACCTTTAATTGTAATCATGATTGAAATTGGATCATTTGCACAGTTCTGGGTGATCCCCAAAAAACTCTGAGAATCATTTAAATAAAAATAACTTGAGTCAGAGATGAGAAGAAAGTTGAAATATTTGGTATTCCACATTTCTCCTTGTGTGGCTCAGACAAAAGAGATTTAAATGGACACTTGGTTCTACATTAATAATTCATGATGGCTTCAGTCGATCTGTATTCATGAAACAACAGGAGCCTGAGAAACCTCTTCTGTGATCCGGCTTTGTTTTTGTGCTACCGTTTGGCCCTGAGTCACAGCCTTATGTAAACACCACATTCACATTTTCATACTGAATCTGTCTCTATTTCAGTGCTGCAGCAGGCAATGCAATCACGTATTCTATTTGCCAGGCAAGTCCACAATCAGACTTCTGTGGGTTTTTTATACACATGGACGTCTGGTCACCGTGCAAACATTACTGTCACATCAGACTGATCTAATGAACAGACTTTAATTTTTAGTTTACCTCCTTAGTGTTGGTCCTTTTCCTTTCTTTTTTCCTCATAAGCAGTGACCGCTACCCCCTGGTTCTAGAAGTAATTTCCATTTCATTTTTTCTCATAAAATGATATTAAAAGTTTGAAAGCTCAGGGCTTATCAGCTCTGTGGTAACTAATGACCACAAGGCCTATAATTTAATTTTAAATCTCTTTCTGAAACTTTATAAATCTCTATGTTATTAAAAGATTCCACAGAACCTTGCTTTTTAAATGCGCATTTTGGTCTTAAATCAACCACATTACGGATATTAGTCACCACATAGCTGCGTAGCCTCTGCCATGTCTTTGAAAAGGTCTAAGGAAAAATGACAGATTTTATGGATATTTTATTTCCAGAACCAGAACGTACGAAGTGCTCCATTTGTTTTGATAAGAATGGACCGTGCGTGTCCCTGATTGGCTAATCCACCTGCCAATCTCCCCCATATGAACTCAGAGAGATCCAGCAGACTCACATCTTCATAAAGTATTGAAGAAGTGTGTATTCTGTATCCCAGTCAACAGCTTTGGCCCAGTATTAGTCACATCACTAAAACATCTTTTTTCCACCTTCGCAATATCGCCCGTCTCCGCTCCTCCCTCCCTCAGCCCACCGCAAGAACTACTCATTCATGCCTTCATCTCCTCCAGACTCGACTACTGCAACAGCCTCCTGTACGCTTTCCCCTCTACCCACCTCAAAAAACTGCAATACATTCGAAAATCTGCCGCTCGCCTCCTCACCCACAACCGCTCCAGAGACCATCACTCCTGTCCTTAAGCAACTCCACTGGTTCCCGCTACAATACCACATCCAATACACGCATCAAGAATCTCAGACTTCCGGTCATTGTGCAATGCATACTGGGAAGGATTTTCCGAAAAAGTGAGCATCAAACCGCCATGTTTGTTTTCCCAGTGGGATGCGTCTATTGACAAAGCCGATCTTTTCAAGTCTTTTGAACCATTTCACTTTTGTTTCTGGTTCTGATATTGTCATATTTTAGTTTTGGGATTCGGACATCGTTAATTGTGTGGATGTTGGATCCTAACAGCGAAAAAACGGCTCGAGAAATTTCTTTGCAAACTTCATAAATGCAAAAGGGAATCAGATGTGTGACTGCAAACCTCTGTTCAAACTGTTTTCCTTCCCAATGGAACTGAAAAATAGTGAAAGGTGAAGGCGATGGGCAGGATTGATCCACAGGAAGGACCAAAAAGGAAACCTTTGACTGCCTAAATCATCCTGAGTTTGCAGAGAACATTTTGTATGTTGAGCGCCAACAAAGCAAAATTCCGATCCCTCGCTCAACCTCGGCTACGAATTTAAAAAGTCAACGCCAAAGCAAAAGGCACCAACTGTTCACCAAGAAACACCTTCCACTGCAAAGAGACCAAGACTTAATGCTGCTGTAAAACTACAAGAACAAGAAAGTGCGAGCTCAGTCTGTTTGTCTTCTGCACTTCTCGCTTAACAAACGGGATCCCGCTTTGTTGGTGCTCCACACAGTCACACAGATCTTATTCCCTTTTGCATTTATGAAGATCGCAAACAAATTTCTCGAGCCGTTTTCCACTGTTAGGATCCAACAACCACACAATTAACGATGTCTGAATCCCAAAACTAAAATATGACAATATCAGAACCAGAAACAAAAGTGATATGGTTCAAAAGACTAGAAAAGATCGGCTTTGTCAATAGACGCATCCCACTGGGAAAACAAACATGGCAGTTTGATGCTCACTTTTTCGGAAAATCCTTCCCAGTATGCATTGCACAATGTCCGGAAGTCTGAGATTCTTGATGCGTGTATACAAGGTCCTTCTCATCACCTACAAGTCCCTCCATAACCTGGCGCCTCCCTCTCACCGACCTCCTCTGTCTGCTCTGTCCCACCCGCCTCAGATCAGCCGACACCAACCTCCTCACTCCGCTCATCAGGACAAAGCACCAGACCTTGGGGGGACCGCTGCCCCCTCCCTCTGGAACTCACTCCCACAACCCATCAGGAACTCGGACTCACTGCAGCTCTTCAAATCACATCTAAAAACTCACCTGTTCAAACTGGCATTTCCCCCATGATTCCCCATTTTCTACAGTGTTACTTTTATTATTATTTATTGTTATTATTCAGTGTTAAAATCATCTGAACCCTCCTGGAACCTCTGACCTGTGCTCTTGCAGTTCTCCTTGTCGGCCTCGAGCTCCCAGCCATCGTAGCACGAGCACTTGACCATGAGCTTGTCCTGCTCACAGCGCTGACTGCACTTCAGGTGTTTGGCACAGAAGCTCTGGATCTGACACGTCTTATTGTCCGCCCCGAGCTCCATCCCCAGAGGACAGGAGCAGATCACGCCCTCTCCTGGAGCCACCGTGCAGTTGTTACTACAGCCGCCGTTGTCCAGGGAGCACAGGTCTGGAAAAGAGACATGTCTATGGTTAGAATGAGAGCTGCAAAGTCCAAAATAAAAACATCACTACATATTTTAACATACAGCATACAGCTCTGAGAAACTGAAACTACCGTATTTTCTGGCCTATTAGGCGCTCTGGATTATAAGACACACTGTCATTAAATGGTCTATTTTCGAACTTTTTTCCCAAATAAACCGCACTGGACTTTAAAGGAAACACAACAGTTGGATGGGTCAGTGGGACTTTGTTTGTTTGTCGCGTTCACGGTGACTCTGGGCTTTGTTCAGTTGTGGCGTGTAAGGAGGGTGCTGTCTGGGACCGCTGGATTGTTGGCATGTTCACAGTGACTCAGTTGTTCAGTTGTGGCTCAGAAAGGCACATTGAACTCGCTTTTTCGGTTTGTTCCTTCGTTTCGTGCCTTGTCCGCATGGAGTGATGAGTGTGGCTGTGGGTGTTTTTCGCTGTGCGGTCGCTGTCTGCTCCGTGTGTGTTTGCGTGTTCTGTGGGTGGTGCGGCTTTGTAGTTTACTGAAGTCGTGCTGGGACACCCGAGTGGATTCGTGTAAAGGGCGCTCTGTATTGCAGGGCGTGCGGTCGTTTTTTGATGCGGTTAGAGGCTTAAGAGCACATCTAATAGCCCAGAAAATATGGTACTAGAAGAGTTTTGAGGGCCGTTTGAACTTACTTATGTAAACAGAAATGAGAGGAAGATCAAAAATTTCAGCCGCAGAAGAGTGGGTAGAGTGATCAGCCACTAACCCAAAAGTTTGAATCCTACTATAATGTATTGTTGTTTTTATTAAATATGTAATGTGTGACTGACTGTGATGGTTAGAGGGAGCAGACTGACAGCCTCACTTCTGTCAGTCTGTCCCAGGGCAGCTGTGGCGATACAAATATACCCACACCCACAAATTAGTGAATGAAAAATGACTACAGTGTTTTTTGACAGTTTTTACCTTGCACTTGTTTGGCAAAGTCATTTGTCAATCATCAAATTATTCTAAACTTGTATTTTATGCTTATTTTATTTTAAACCATTATTAAATGCTGCATAAAGTGCCAATAAAAAAGAAAATAAAGCTGATTTAAACCCTATTTGCACAGGATAAGTACAACCTGGGGACGTCTAGTAATTAGCAAATTACCGCTCCACCTCCGTGTTACACATTTGCACAGGAGAAGCGAAGTTTGTAAATGATTTTATTTGACTGACACTGACACAGAGATTGAAAGAGAAAAGAACGCAGAAAGAAAGAAAAAGGGATAGAAAAGGTGCAATTACAACAACAAGCGCTGAGATGCAGATTCGCACGGGACTAGTTTTATCACTGTGTTTGGGGGAAATATAGTAAGTCATTTGAGGTGGAATTTTTACTTTACAAATTACAGACATGGATCATTCGCACAGGATTAAGATCTCAGGCTCCTCCACAGTTATTACAAGTCACTAAAGGTCCACTGGTCATACTAATCCCATGCAAACAGGGCTTTTGAGAACAAGCTTCCACATTTTTCTTTATGCTTTAAGCTTAGTGCATTCACCTTTGGGTCCTTAGGCAAGACACGTCACCTACATTGCCTGGTATGAATGTGATGTGAAGGTTGGTGGTGGTCGAAGGGGCTGATGGCACAAAATGGCAGCCTTGCTTCTGTCAGTCTGTCCCAGGGCAACTGTAACTACAATAGTATCCTACCACCAGTGTGAAGTGAATGAAGAATGCACAGTAAAGCTCTTTGGGTGTCTTGAAAGGCGCTTTTTAAATCCAATGGTTCATTAATTTGCAATAATATATATATTTTTTTAGAGAAATCCTGGTTATGTTTATGTCCATGTAGATGCAGTATTCTGATTTCAGTCTCCTGGATAAGCCAGTATCCCAATGATGAGAAACCAGGATACTCACACTGTTTTTTTCTGAGAATATTCAGGATACTGTAGAATGCAGATGCAGTACTTTTTTAATTTAACCAATCACTGCTATTTGTTCGTGACGTCCTTCTCCTTGATAAAATTCACCAAACATTCTCTTTGTTTCAGCTTTAAATCCTCGATCTCGGGATTGTTGCCATCACAGAATGTTTCTCTTCGTCTACATCCATCTCGATGCTTTGTTTACTGTTGTGCTGTTCCACAAATGGGACACAGACGGGTGCAACGAGTTTGACATCATGGCTTCACAGCTCACAGCTGACTGGCCGGTGCATAATCTACAACTGCCGGGGTTCTTGCAAACCGTCTAGTGCAGACATGTCAAACTCAGGCCCAGGGGCCAAATTTGGCCTGCGATATAATTATATTTGGCCAGCAAGAGCATATCAAATCTGTATTAGAGCTGCCCGTCGGCTACAGACATAATTTATTTTAAATGTTATTATTTTATATTAAGTTTCTTCTGTATTCAATGTTTAAGCAAAACTATTATTAAACATTTATTTTAATAAGAAAAGGTTTAATACATATCTCGAAACAAGAGAAAACATACAAATGTTGACATTTTTCAATAGATATATTTAGTTTGGCCCACGACTTAATCCCAGTTTTTGATTTTGGCCCTCTCTGAATTTGAGTTTGTATTCTGATTCCTGACCTAGTCGCTGGAGAGTAATGAAATTGAGTGGAGGCACTACGTGGCGCCAGCCTGACTACCTGTACTGAGCATGTGCGAAACTAAAGTAACAGATACAGTAGGAGCAGTTATTTTACCAAAACAATTCAAACTCCTACCAGGATGTCTTAAGTAAAACTATTTCATACTTATAAACAAAACAAAGCAGCCTAATGTTTAATACAACCACTTTTGAACACCAGGCTCCCTTCTGTGTCTGTTTGCTCTTGAAGTAAACTGACACTGTGAGACTGTGTTGTATTTTTCAACTGTTAAAAACCTTTTACTGAAACTGTGACAGAGCTCCACAATCTTATGTTTTTACTTGAATGTACGTCTTCTTTTTTGTTGTTAGAAACCTGTTGAAAAACCTAAAAAAAAGTTGCTACATGTTTAGCTCTTTGCCAAATCTGTGCCATAGTTACCATAGCAACCACTCTAAATGTCCAGGATAATTCTAACAGCACTAAAAACATGAGTATCCTGTTTCTCGGAGCGCATGTTTAAGCACTCATTGTTGATGATATGGCCCAGCTCTACACACATACATATTTGTGAGGTGTTTTGGTTGACTTTAGAGCATGCGTTCTCATACCACAGAGCTTCTCGTCGGAGCCGTCGGGGCAGTCGTCTTTGCCGTTGCAGAGTTTGTCTTGGGGCAGGCAGATGGTGGAGTCGTTGGCGCACACGTGATGAGACAGTTTACAAACCAGAGCCTCACAGTTCTCCTCATCAGAGTTATCCTCGCAGTCGCTGTCCCCGTCGCACACCCACGCCTTACTGATGCACCGCGCTGAGGACACACACACACACAGAGGGTTTAGATGGTCAAGATTACATAATGTCACACAATAGTCAGTGAGAATTCTAAGACTAACTGTTGTGTGTTGTTGTGCGACAGTTATTTTGTTGTTTTTTGGGGTGATTCTTAAATTTTGACTTAATTTGATGGGATAATACCTGCTGTAAAAGTAAATTATACTTTTACAGTTTGTTTTACACAAATCAAGAAGCAATTTGTGAAGAAAATTAGAAAAATATGTTGAAAATTCCAAAAGAGTGGGAGAATTCTGTCCTAAAGTTCAGCATAATTTACACAAGAAACACATTCTCTGATACTTTGAACGTTATTTCAACACAATTATGGTGTTTTCTTACATTTTTATTTGTCAAATCAGAATTTCTATGTATGTTTGGGGAGATTTGGTCCATAGTACAAGATGGTGGCTAGATAACAGTTATGGAATAGACCGGCCGGAAGTGCCGCGATGTAGGGTAAACATCACTTCCTTTTAATGCTTTTCTTTGGCAAAATATCTGTGGAAATGTCCCACGTATTTTCCAGCAGCTTCATAAATCTGCCCCATCACCAAATAATAAGGTCCACAAAGGACATATTCTGTCCATGAAGAATTTATCCACAACTATCAAGGTAAGAAAGATGAAAACTGAAAGGTGAACAACGACACATTAGTGAACCACTGAACAAAACTAACATTATGGTCATGAATAAAACATAAGTGACTTTGACCGATTCTACAATTAAAATTTAAAATCTATTTCATGATGTAGATATTTAGCCAGGTTGGTGCCACCTAGTGCCTCCAGTGAGTAGGTCAGGAATTGGAATACACTAGACTTTTTGCAAAAACCCCGGAAGTACGAGTCCAGGCACCATCCACGAAGAGCCATATATTCTGTGTTGGCAACGATTGCTGAAATCGAGGATTTAAAGCCGGAACAAAGAGAATGTTTGGTGAATTTTATTAAGGGGAAAATGTCATTGTCCTTCTTCCTGCAGGATTTGGGAAAAGCTTAATATACCAGTTAGCCATTACATGCGTCACGACCAAATAGCAGCGAAAGGTTAAATAATAAAAAGTGCCTGCCTACTGTCGAGCGAACAAATCCTAATGCTGCGAGGTCAGACAGTTTCCATGAAGTGAAACTTGCTGATGAATCAGGCTAATAGATATTAGCATAGACAGAGAGATTTGTGCAGTTTAAATGCTGGATATGTAATCTGTGAATATCTGTAGCATTTAAACTGCACAAATTTATCTATCTATGCTAATATCTACATCATGAAATTAATTTTTAATTTTAATTCTAGAATCAGTTTGAGTGAACAAGTTACTTATTAATGAATTACTTATTACTTATGTTTTATTCATGACCATAATGTTAGTTTTGTTCAGTGTGTCACTAATGTGTGGTCATTGTTTCCTTTAAATTTTCATCTTTCTTCCTTTGATATTTGTGGATAAATTCTTCATGTTAGAATGTTTATCCTTTGTCGACCTTGTTGGATGAAGATTTGGTGATGGGGCAGATTTATAAAGCTGCTGGAAAATACGCCAGACATTTCCACAGGTATTTTGCCATAGAAAAACCCTACATGGCAGCACTTCCAGCCGTTGTGGAAAAGGTCTATTCCCAAGTGTGATGTCATGATTTACAAGCAGGAAGAAATATTTTAAACCTAAAAATGGCCAAATTCAGAAAATGAATTGTATATTTTTAGTAAAATCATAAAGATATAAATATAAAGATATAAAATATAAAGATTTTAACTGTGTTTTAGTAAAATGAGTAGTCCAACCTCTCTTGGGCACTTTAATTCTGCATTAACACGCAGATAGTTCGGCAACAGCAAAATCACGTTTACGCCATATCAGCGTATAAACAAATGTGTAAACCGCTGAAATACCTCATATTTTCTACAATTATAGACAGAAAATAGGCTTTTTAGATTCATAAGTGATATATTTGAGTTTGTGGCCATGGGTTATACAGTTTTATGCACCTCTACGTATTGTACTCTCAAAGCACTTCACATCAACCATTTTCACCACGTCATAGTAGAAGTCATAGAAAAGTCCAAAGCAGCTACTACAAGTAACAAAGTATCATAATGAATAGTACTTCCATATGTACCTTCGCCTTACTGAGTACTTTTATATTGTAAATGTTCACTATAAAATGCATAATGTTTTATTTATCGTAGACTTTTCACCAAGGACAACCATAAGTCACAGAAAAAGGCCATCACAACAACAAATAACAATTTATCCTTCGCAGTGGTTTTCCATTCTTCTGCATTTTGTAGCTCAGCGTTTCACTGCACAAGGAAAACACACTTGTTGTAGTTTCAACAAATAAACAGGACTGGGGAGGGAGATTTATAATAATACTAAAAATATCAATTAGATTATAATACAAGTCCTATATACAGGGTATCCCCGGGTTTGACTACCCCAAATTTAAGACTTTTTAAGACCACTTAAATGAAAATTAAGACCAAAGTCGCACCCATTATGCGGGTGAAAAACACCAGGTCTAATTCTAATAATGACCAAATAACTACAGGTACTATATCTACAATCTAAGGCAGAGGTGTCCAAACTTTTTTCATCAAGGGCCACATCTCTAAACACAGATGAAGCAGAGGGCTGATCGAGAGCTGTAGATCGGTGCTCAATACAGTGAATAATGGAAATATGTGCATGTTTAACATGTTAGAATGAGCCATCACTCTCAGTCTATTTATGCTGAGATCCATAAAACCCAACAATATTAAATATTAGCTTAATCAAGGTAGATTATCAAAACTATGCTGATAAAAGTAAATTTTTAATTGATGCAAGGTAATTTAGGCCAATTCACCTGGAAGCCTGAGGGTCAAGAAAAAATTGTCTGAGGGCCGCATTTGATCCACGGGCCATAGATTGGACATGCCTGATCTAAGGCTACATTTATATGATGAGAGTTCTAACAGAAGACACAAAAGTGGCGTAGCGTCTTCACTTTTTATTCCCCGTTTAGACGAGTGTTTTCAGGAGGAAATCTGCGTGTATACCGTGATGCACAAGTGTGTGGAATTGGATTGGGTATGCATGCCAGGCAGCTCGGTGATGACGCTCGGGGGGGATGTATGTGACGTAAACACGTACGCAATGTGAGCAGATCTGACCGGAGTTTTGCGTCTTTTACTCATTGCCGCCGGCGCCAAAAAACAAAGTATTGTTATCTCATCTATTTTCATACATAAGGCACATTAAGTGAAACAAACGGACAGCACTTGAGACTTGAGCCTTTTTTACTTCCTATGAGGAGGACTCAAATATGCATTGAGTTCTAATGTGTTTAACGCAGCTTTGCGCACATTTGTTTACGTTTTACAGAAACTAAACTTAAAGCCACGTGGTCAATTTGCATAAACTATAAGCTCAAAAATAAAAACGCTCGCTCCTTGCGCTTGATCGCTAATAGTCCAAAAAATACGTTACTCAAGTTTTAAACAAGGAAAAACAGTAATCAATGTTTCCCACATACAACTGCTGAAAAAGTGAGGAGTGGGGTTGCTCAGAGATGTATGTATATGTATATTGCAGACCTACATGCAGATCGTGACAAGGTGACCCAAAAAAATCTCTTGCAACCCACCTGAGGGTCGCGACACAGTCTTTGGGAAACAATGATCTATGTTACTGCTTTAACAGTATAACAGTATAACAGTATAATTTGAACCAAGTTTCCTTTAACACATCTAATCTATATCCAGTGCTTTTGTGTCCTGAAGTGCTCCTCACCTGAGTCCCTGCAGCCGAACTTCACGGCCGGGTCGCACATGTGAGTCACTCCTTCACAGTTTTTCTCATCGCTCAGATCCATACAATCTGTGTCCCCGTCACAGCGCCACCTAGACGGGATACACAGCCCATCCATCCGACACTGGAACTCATCTGTGTGGCAGCCCCCGGGAGGACGAGCTGCGAGAGGAAACATATGTTTATAATTAGAGAAAAAGGATCTGATGTGATGTCTGAAATAAATTAAAATAATAATCTTGATCAGTTCACTCATATAGAAACAATTATGTTACTTATTGCATTTAAACGCCTCACAGAGTATTTAACATTAGAAGCAAATTATAGTCTTAACGGTAGAGCTCTAGACCTTTGCTCATGAATTGTTAATTAATTAGCTCAAGGAATTTAAGGCAACAAAAAATGCATGAGTTGACTAATCATTTTATTTGGATTATAAGGATTTAAATGAGACAGCAGCAGAAGGGAGAAGTGAAAGAGATAACAAGTTTTTATATGTTTTGTATTTATATGTAAAAAGTCAGATTAAACTCATGCTTGACAAATTTAATCTGTTCTTATATAAATATTTAGTTTTCTAGTACTTTCTTTTCTACATAAATAGTAGTTTTTGCATGAATTCCCCCTGCAGGTGTAGTCTTGTGAGTGCAGTTTGGGTCAAATACACAGAGATATGTAATAGTTTTGATTTGTAATAGTTTTAGCCAGTCTCCTTAGTCAACTACAGCCCCACTAAATGGAACTCATATTTACAATAATTAATTGAATGAAACAAAACACAATGGTAGCTGTGAATCATGTGCTAGTCTACCGCTTATGTAATAAAACCAAAATAAAGGTTCATGCAGCATGTGTTGATTTCTTATTTGGCAAACGGGGTGTTGTTTTGAGTCTAACACGTTTTCCCCCAACTTATTTCACACTAAAACAAATATTTAACCTCTTAAAAGATTTTTTAACAACGTTTTGTGATGTAGTTATTTTAATTCATTGTAATACTCTGATACATATACACTTTTGTTATTCAATTGTAGCCTTAAAGGTGCATGGTGTAACTTTTCTGGTGGAAGGTCTGTCAAATGTTTTCTCCGTTGCTTCGTCTAGAATGTTTCACAGTACGGCTTTAACATTTCTATCTTCATGGAGACCAAACCAGACAAAGTTACAGGTCAGATCTGTGGAGAGGCGACCCCACTCACAGTCACAATGCCTCTTATACTAGGTTTTAAAACCAAATGTAATTCAAGAAATGTAAGGTAGAGCTGTTTAATGTCACACTGCGGAACTTTCCAGGCATAGCAATAACATATACAAAGAAACAAGCAGGTAACGGACACCCAACCAAAAAGTTACACAGTGCACCTTTAACCTTCCTTGGATTTTAATGTTGCATTTTTGTGATTTTGTTTAGTAAATTGTGGAATTGTTTGAAATGTGCCATGTGTGCCGTCACTTCTTGTATAAAGCTGATTTTATTACTTATTTTTCTATTTTATTTTTACTGTGCATTTAAATTTATATAAGTATTGCTCTTTTTTTGCTACTTATTATTACCATTTATATTTTTACTCTTTGTTATTATATTATATTGTGATGTGTGAGCTCCTGTGCCCAAATAATTTCCCTTGTGGAGCAGTAAAGTTTTGTCTAAATCTAAGTCTCTAAGTCTATATAAATGTACTAATATATATCCATCCTCTGCATTGTAATTTCATTGTATAATTTATTCCTTCAAATCAGGGACTGCAGATGGAAACTACTGTTTAGCCATAATCTGGAGCGGAACATATCTCTTCATAAGCTTAATGTCTCTGTACATTGTCCCTTCACATAAAGAATAGGCTAAACTATCTGACCAATCCATCAGATTAAACTAAGCAGTGTAATAGTGCTTGGGTTAAGGAGCAGGGCCCCACACTGTAGAAGCCGACTCGCTCAGGACTACATTGCTGTGAGATCTTTGTCTATTGCGCAAGTTTAGGTAGAAGTGGAAACCTGGAGGATAAGAAGAAAACAACCAAGACACAAGAAGAAACAAGCAAACCCTGCACAGAAATGCCACTCAGAAAGAACCAAATTAAATCAAATACTAATTAAACATATACATGAAATTATCTTCACATCACATTTTCTTGTTTTGTCACTGAGTCTGTGTGGTGCAGTTAGTTTGCTCTGTCTCCATCACAGGCCCAGTAGCAATCTGTCTCTCTGTCTCTCCCTCTGTCTCTATATCTATCTATCTACCGCTCTATTAATCTGTCTGCGTGTGTGTCTATCTATCTCTATCTCTATGACTGTTACTGTTATAGATTGCTTGTCTTGCCCGTACTCTGTGTGTGCTGCAGTTGTTGTGCATCTCATCGCTGTGGTCCAAGCAGTCATTGTCCCCATCACAGGTCCACTACTAATCTATCTATCTCTCTGTCTGTCTCTTTCTCTGTCTGTCATTCTCTTGTACAGTGTAATATAGTGTAGGTTGTCTTGCTGTTCTGTGTGGTGCAGTTGTCATGTGTCTTGTTGCTGTATTCCCCACAGATGCTGTCACTGCCACAGGTCAAGTATCTATCCATCCATCCGTCTATCAGTCAATCAATCTATCTCTCTGTCTATCAATCTATCTCTATGTGTGGTGCAGCTGGCATGTGTCTCATCACTGTAGTCTCCACAGGTTGTTGTTTCTGTCACAGGTCCAGTATGTATCTCTCTCTCCATCTATCTCTCTGTCTCTCTCTTTCTTAGTCTCATTGTCTTCTACAGTGTAATACAGAGGTCTTGTCCACACTCTTAGCGTTTTCAGGCCGACAGAGAACTGTGCCGGTTCCCGCACCTAATCTCAAACTGACTGACCTGTTCATTCTGAAAATCAGAGCGTTTGGGAACCGAAAAATTGGTTTCTGACGGGAACCAGGTAAAACTTTTTTCCAAGCGAACCATGATGACACAGTAGACATCAGCAGATTTATGAGGGTCACACGTGGCGAAATCAAGTGACAAAAAGATTGTGCACTGGTGAGCGGATGAGAACAAATATTTGCTATGTCCATGTTCGCATGGTAAGGTTACATTTATGAATTGGGCATCAATGCCACCTTCTCCACAGCAGATGTTGTAGCAGAGCTTGTCGCAGATAAATAATGATTTGTACAAATGCTCGCTGGTGTTGATGATGCGATCCATGATTGTTATTTTCCTCACTGACATCTGCTTTCATATGGCCTTGTTTTTAATTTGGTGGCAAATCCACAGCCTCTGTCAATGACACATCATGGGTTCACTTAAATGGTTTGAACGCGGGATGTTCACCAGTAAGAACTTTGGTTCCCAGTGTAAGTGGTGTGGGAACCGGCACCGCACTGTTCTGGCCGACCTGAAAACAGCTTCTGTGTAGTGCAGCTGGTGTGCCTCTCATTGCTGTAGTCTCCACAGTTGCTGACTCAATCTCAGGTCCAGTAGTAATCTGTCTCTCTCTCTATCTATCAATCTATCCCTCTATCGATCTCTATCTATCATTCTCTTGTAAAATGTAATATAGATAGTCTCCCGTACTTTGAGTGGTGCAGTTGGCGTGCGTCTCATCGCTGTAGTCTCCACAGTCGTTGTCCCCGTCACAGGTCCAGTAGTCTGGGATACATCGTCCGCTGTTACACTTGAACTGAGCGCTGGAGCACGAGTGACTGCAGCCTGCCTCATCGCTGTTATCTCCACAGTCATTATCTGGAAAAGAGAAACTGTAAGAAAACATGGACCAGACTTATAGAAGAGTTTACATGCACCTGGGTATCCTGATTTGGTATCACCATTTTCTAGAATCCCTATAGACGGATTATTTGTTCATCAACACAGCGGATGCTAAAATAGTTTATTGCCGCGTGATAAAATAAGTTATGATTCTAAATGAACATTAGTAAGGCGGATATGTCATAATAACCTGTATGTGTTAAATGCAGGTGAGTGTGTAAATGACGAGAAGAAATATCTCAAACTTTAGTAGCCAGAGATCCACTCATAATTGATAAATACAACTAGCCCCGCCCCCGGCAAAGTCTGAAATCTGCTGAAATTCTACAAGACACTGATATGATACAAACAGGGCAGAGGCTCTTTCTGTAGGAGACATGCGCATTAGAGTGCAAAGTGACGTAGTCTGATCATCCTTCTATAGTTTAACATAGAGCTAGAGGACAGGTCAGAATTCTGTGGTAGAATTCACTGTTTAATTGTCAGATTGCAGATTTGTTGACCTGGTTTATGATATCTCTGTAATTATTGGGCCTATCCACATGAAACAGGAACCGGCACAAAATTCAACATCTGTATAAATAAACAAAATTTATGTTTATAATAGCTTCAAAAAGTGCCATCATTCAATTCCAAATAAGTCATTGTTGTCAGTTAAAAGGATGAGATTCAAACCACAAGTTTGTGGAATCGATCCCTAATAAATATTGAGAAGGCTCAACATTTATGGATTTTTATTTAGATATTTGGATAGTTCTTTCAAAAACAGCAAATCTCCCAAAGCTACATAGACCCTTGCCCATCATCTGAATTGATGACATTATGAAATCCTGGTTCTTGTTTATTAATCATCAAAATTTAAATGAATATCACGTGTTGTAGGAAGAGAGGGTGTAATGTTAAGGTTTTGACAGTTGTCTTTTAAAGGTCCAATGTTGGGTCTAATTCTACAACATGAAGGTAACCTATTTGTTTAGAGCAAACTAAGACTATGTTTACACTGAAACAAATCACCGTATCCTCGTATCTGAAACGATCTGCGTCCAGACACGTCGTTTCTGTGTCCGCAAGCCTTCTCTATCCACACAGCTTTGAGCATATTTGTTTATGTTTTACAGAAACGACACTTAAAACCGCATGACTAATTTGCATAAACTAAGCACTCAAAAAACAGCTCGCTATTGTGCGCTGATGCGGTTCAGCTTCTGTTGGACTAAAAGACATGACTCAGTGGAATATGAGTGTTCTTTCTGTGACAGAGGGATGTTCTGCTGATGTTGAGTCTGTTCTGTGGTGATGGTTCATGTGAAACTTTTCAGAGATTATATGTCTGCAGGTCGTACACACAGACTGTATATATGAATGGACATATATTCTAGCCTCTTAGCATTTTGGTGGTGAATTACTTCACGGCGCATAGACCTACATTAGCGTATCTGTGTTTTCAGGCGTCCACACAGTGCCGGATCATATCTGTTCTCAGATGAATTTGTGGGAGCTGGAGGCACCAGATCGTTCCGTCTCTGGAGCCATTTTCAATCGGATTAGTGTGGACGAACAATGTATCCACAGCGAAAACAACTCAAATACGTACTAGTGTGGATGGGGCCTTAAAGGTGCACTGTGTAACTTTTGTGGTAGAGAGTTAGCCACAAGCTTGTCTCCATAGAGATGTAGATTACTTTGCCTGTGCTGTTCCACACTATAGCATTAAAATTATCAATATTCAGTGAGACAAGCTGGGGACAGGACCAGGCCAAGTTACAGGTCAGGTCAGAAGCAGGTGTTAGACTCTCCACCTTTTCTTTTTGCACCTTTTACTATTTTTGTTTGAGATACAATGTAATTTTATAAGCATAATAAAAAGCATGACCGGGATAACCAAGTGCATGTAAATATATTCTCTGAAACACCAGGCTCCTCAAAGAAAAGAAAGTATTTAAGGTACAATAGTTTCTAAAATAAACACATTAACATAGAAATCATGAATGGCTTGTGTGAGAGAGAAGACAGTTGAATAATGACAGAAACTGCATAGATCCTCCATGCACCACGAGAATGTACCAGCGCTGATACATTGAGCATTGGCAGCAGCAGCAACAACACTTAACACTGATCAAAAGTAATGGACACTTTTAACCATTAACCCCAATATTATTAAGGCTAATTTACAATGAGTATGTTCTGCTGGCACCATATCATCTTTAACATTTAATCTGATTATGTTCTCACTTCTGTGTCTGCGTTTATCAGCATTACGCCCGTATAATGTACTCATTTAGAATGCTTTACTCAGCATAGTAGTTCGTCTTTGGCGAAGAGAAGTGAAGGCTAATGCTGGGGCTGTACATAAGCAGAGACGTTTATCATCCAAAGAGACACTACATTTGAATCAGACTTGATATGAAATTAAATCTTGAAAATAAACACTTTTAATGACTGTGTTAATTATACAGATTTTTATAAAAAGGACCATATTTGGAAATCCAGGTACACAATCAAAGAGCCAATCAGGAGTGAGGGTGCTGAAGGAACACACCCCTTCCCGCTTGTACCATTGGTTTTGTAGGGGGCAGACGTTTAGCAACCAACAGCCTCTACAGGTTGGTACGGGTGCTACAGTGCGGAGTGTTTCCGCTGCATAAAGCAATCCGTACTGCCCCCTTTTAGTGGTACAAACAAAGACTATATATATAAATGGACATAGTTAACATGCTAGCCAGTGCGGTCCAAATAGGAAGTTTACATGTGGCTCTTCCGGCTCCTTCTGACTCTGGCTCCCATTGACTTACATTGGAATTTTGCCATTCCTCTCTCTGTAACTGCTGCAGTGAGCCTCGATATTGTGGTCTTAAAATGTTCATATTAACCTGCTCTACTTGATCTTGTTTTATTTTTTCTCTCTAATTTGTCCGGCAAAAAAAATCCTATTCATAACACAGAGCGTGGCTCCAGATTCGCCCCTGTAACTGTGAGTATCGTGAGCTTCATTTGAGTGGCTCTAAACGCTACAGGCGATGTCACACTGGCTTTGTCCACTTTTTTTTACACAGTCTCTGGGTACAAAGTGGACCTTTGGAGGTACTATGTGACAATATGTAAATAGTGTGAACCATGTAACCGTTTCCTGATTGGTCTGATATGAATGTTCAAATCTTGGTCCTGGGACAGAATAACAAAATAAAAAACAATACCAGGATCTATGGAGTAAAAACATTTTAAGGTCACACCTCAAAGGAACTACTTTGCGTCCATACTCACTTCCTATTTGGAACACAGCAGCTAACAGTCTAGCTTTGTCCATTTATGTCACAGAACGATAAAATCTGAAGGTGAATCAAAGATGGTATTGTGTTGTTTTCAGTGGCCTGGGCTCATTGACACATTGGCCCAAAAATAATTTTCTCTTGTTGAGAAAATAGAAAAGAATCCTACAGAATCCGACCTTTGTGAAAGCTGGATGCCCTGTCAGCTACGGAAGCCTGGAGTGCTCATAACAAGCGCAAACACCCCAACAAATACAAACACGGCAACACACCAAAAGCCACAACGGAAGTGACGGCGGGCCTCTATTTTCTGATGGACCAAGCAAAGTGTTAAAGGATCAAGTGGGAAGTGAATGGGAAAAGTTGAAGAAGAACCAGAATGTGAAAAGTAAAGGAAATGTTTAATTTATTGTTTTGTGACCAGAATACAAGTCCAAACATCACTTGGTCCATCGGAAAATAGAGTCCCGCGGTCACTTCCATTGTGGCTTTTTTTGGTGTGTTGTCGCGTTTGTATTTTTTGTGGCGTTTGTGTTTGTTATGAGCCCTCCTGGCTTCCGTAGTCAGCCGAACACGGGAGTTTGAATTCGCCACAAAATGCTTTGCGCTCTATGGGAGAATTCTTTCTGGGCCCAAACTCCCGGGAACTGCAGTACCTGGAGCGGCCACTAGTCGCCTCGAGTTGGGACAGAGCTTTTATTATAGATCCATGTTTTATGTCCATTTTTTTCTGTAGCTCTCTGCTCCAGCACAGACTGTATTCCCCACCCACTCCTCCTACTGGTCAGCCTGTGTCACGCTCTGAGTGAGTGACAGGTGAGTTAACCAATCATAGTCAAATAGTTAAGTTGGCGTTACTTGTACTGTATATACCACATGGAGCTGCAAGAGATGCTGGCTGCAGATGCTAGGGCTAAAGCTAAGGCCAATGCTAGGTTAAGGCTAAAGCTAAAGCTAGCATGGCAGCCGTGGTGGTGCATGTGGATCTATGCACTGACCGGGTGTTACGTTTGGACAATGTAACTCATCAGAGCCGTCTGCACAATCCTTTTCTGCAAAACACAAAACCAACGGAAAGAACAGGACAAGAGTGGGACAATGACACAGACACACAAATACACAAATGCAGGCTACAGCTAAACAAAACATACACAAAACAACAACACAACAGGGAAATGAGCAAAAGACAGGCACGCAAGATACAGCAGAGGTTTCCAACTGTCAGTGATAGAAAAACGCTTACTAAAACACTTTGTAGCATATGTCATCAACATTCTCTGGGGGGTGAAGCTACCTGGAGGCACTGCTCTGTCTGAAGCTCTGTTACTCAAGTCAGACTTCAATCTGAGCTTTTTTAAACTACAACATGTGAGCTGATTTGTACAGTTTGTCAAATAACATTACAGTAAAATTTTTTAAACCAAGGGTGGAAAGTAACAAATTACATTTACTCAGGTTACTGTAACTGAGTAGTTTTTATGAGTAATATGACATATTTTAAGTAGCTGAAATAGGTATTTTACTTTTACTCAAGGACATTTTGACCCATGTGTTTTACTTCATTACACTGGAACCCACCCTCGTTACTGAGTGAAATCAGATTGACAGGGAAAAAAATGAAATGCGAAGAAAAACAAAACAAACAAACCCAATATGCCGGAAATGAAAGAAAATTGCACAAAATTGCACTATAGAATGTACAGTTATTGTCCAGAACTGTCAGTCTGTCGTGGATGATGCTGGTGCCACAGAGCCACAAATCGAGGTCGTCATGCGTTCTTTCATTTTTTATATAGCAGTCAGTGTGCAATATGTGCCACATTTTCGTTTTGCATACTTTGATTTTGGTTTAATTTTCTTTCTTTTTTATTATAGTGTTGTGAGTTGGACCATATAATTCAGAATTTGTTAAATGTGTTATGCGGTTAAAGTTCTAAGTTCTATACAGTTCTATAAAAAAAAAGGAGCTCAGTGTTGGTAAGTGTTAGTAAGCTCACTTGTCTTTAAAATGTACTAAGTTTGCACTGAACAAAGTTTGTCTGTATCACCTAAAACAGTGATTCTTAACCATATGGTCGGGATCCAAAGTAGGGCCACGACCACCTCCTTGGGGGCCCCATAATCAGTACAATAGACGCATCAAGAATCTCAGACTTCCGGTCATTGTGCAATGCATACTGGGAAGGATTTTCCAAAAAAGTGATCATCAAACCGGCATTTTTGTTTTCCCAGTGGGATGCATCTATTGACAAAGCCGATCTTTTCTGGTCTTTTGAACCACATCACTTTTGTTTCTGGTTCTGATATTGTCATATTTTAGTTCTGGGATTCGTACATCGTTAATTGTGTGGTTGTTGGATCCTAACAACGGAAAACGGCTCAAGAAATTTGTTTGCGAACTCCATAAATGCAAAAGGGAATCAGATGTGTGTGACTGCAATCCTCTGTTCAAACTGTTTCCCTTCCCAACGGAATTGAAAAATAGTGAAAAATGAAGGCGATGGGCAGGATTAATCCACAGGAAGGACAAAAAAGGAAACCTTTGACTGCCTAAATCATCCTGAGTTTGCAGTGAACATTTTGTATGTGGAGCAACAACAAAGCAAAATCCCGATCCCTCGGGATCCCTCCCTTGTTCTTCTGTTCTTGTTCTCCCTTGTTCTTGTTCTTGTTCTTTGTGAATCCCAAAACTAAAATATGACAATATCAGAACCAGAAACAAAAGCGATATGGTTCCAAAGACTAGAAAAGATCAACTTTGTCAATAAACGCATCCCACTGGGAAAACAAACATGGTGGTTTGATGCTCACTTTTTCGGAAAATCCTTCCCAGTGTGGATTGCGCAATGACCGGAAGTCCGAAATTCTTGATGCGTCTATATAATGCACTTAATATGAGATAGGGCCCCAGGTTACTTGGTTCAGAAAAAGCCGGGCCCCAAGATTGAAAAGGTTAAGAAACCCTGACCTAAAAGTTGATTAAAAGAACTTGTGCTGGATTAGATTTATGATTCATCCTTTTTTACATCAAATAACTGAAAGTATAGTAAAGCTTTTACTCAAATTATTATTTTTTTTACTTTTACTCAAGTAGATTTTTAGATGGTTATTTTTACTTTTACTTGAGTGGGAATTAAGAAAAGTAATGATACTTTTACTTAATTGCAATTTTTCACCTCTGTGTTTGCTAATGTATGCATTGTTTCACCATGATAACTGCTGAACATTCTACCATAGACATGCATGTGGAACCCCCCAGCATGATCACATTTGTTGTCCATACATTCTGGTGTCCAATATTTGATATACTGTGGTCCAATACTCAGATGGAGGGAAGACATACTGTAATAGGAGCAGGTACTGACAAAAAGAATAAGCTCTAGAGGTCGGATTAAGTCCACTGTGTGCTGTCTGCATCCAATTATAAAGTGTTTTATTGTCCATAAATCAGGAAGTGCGGGTTTGCATGCTAAGTGTTTCTAGCGTTACCATCAAAGGCAAAAGTCCGCTCTGGTCTCTGAGAGTGGTGAAAAACTCTGGCAAGCTCAGTCGTTCAGTTTTATTTGCGTCCTGTATTAATCTATAAAAGGAAATCGTGTTTTGTTTTGTCTCAATTAGCATCTAACTATATTTTATTGTAAGACCAAGGTTGTTGAAGAGAATCCAGCTTTTCTCATGTCCTCTATACATGATCCACTCTGAAGTCTATTAAAAGAGCTGTTTATGTCTTCATGCCGCACCACTTTAACCTTGGCAATGAGACTGATAAATATGTAAATTCTCACCTTGAACACAAACCCTTCATGTGATACACCACACAAGGCTGAGACACTGCTGCTCACTCAAAACTAATTCCATATTTTTGTCTTATAGTGGAATTTCTGATATCGGCATTGGTCCAATTTTGAAAATGTTGGCAATATTTGACACCAGTGGGCTCTATTCACACTTACGTCACAAAACCGAAAGACGTTTGGAAACATGCGGATGAGTCATGAGCTTTCTGTAAGGACGAGGTCGTGGATACAAGCGGCCAAAATGAGTTTCCTCTGCAGGGTGGCTGGGCACGCCCTTAGAGATAGGGTGAGGAGCTCAGTCACACGGGACGAGCTCAGAGTAGAGCCACTGCTCCTCCACGTCAAGAGGAGCAGTTGAGGTGGCTCATGCATCTGTTCCAGATGCCTCCTGGGCAGGAGGTGTTCCGGGCATGTCCCACCAAAAGGAGGCCCCGGGGAAGACCCAGGACACAATGACAGGACTATGTCTCTCGGCTGGCCTGGGAATGCCTTGAGGTCCCCCTGAAGGAGATGGAGGAAGTGTCCAGTGAAGGAAGTCTGGGATTTTCTGCTTAGACTCATGTCCCCGCGACCCAGCCCAGGATAAGCGGAAGAAAATGGATGGATGAATGACAACTTCTGGCAGGTTCTGTTTGTGGTAGTAAGAGAAAAGGCCCATTTTTTTCATCTAGATGTCTTTGTTTTCTTTCTTTTTTCCTTTTCTAAATTGCCTGTTCATTTGTGTAGTATAATTTCTCTAACTTAATATTAAAAGATGTCATTGTAGTGTTCCGTTATGTTCAGCAGATCAACAGTTAAGACCAGCTGCCTGTAAGTGACATTGAAGATGTGACTGGAAAGCTTTGGCAGGTTGTGAAGACTCTGCTGCTGAACCCAGAGTTTTCACACATGCCCAGCGTCGGGAACTACACCGTAAGTCGTTATCCGCATGTTTCCAAGTGTCTTCCAGTCACCGTGAAGAGCCTATAGATGCACTGCTCCATTCTGTATGCGCCCATGTAAGTGAAGTCTTGTTTATTTAGCAGTACTGGTCAGGAAAACTTGACTTTTTTGGTATGATTTTTACAGATGAAGTCCCCCAGAGCTGCTGTTTAAGTCAGGCCCTCCACCTGAGTACTGAGCGTCATCAAGATCATCTGAAGCCAAATGTGTAGCAGATGGTAACCTCCACAGCGTGACGAAAAAGAGAAGAGGAAGAAGAGGAGGAAGAGGAGAGGAGGGGGGTTTGAAGCGGGACTAAACACCTAAACTCTGCCCACAAACACTTTTCAAATGGAGCTGCTAAACTGGGCAGAACCTGGAGGACTAAAGAGGAATATAAGGAGGAGGAGGGTGGTATTTGGAGGTATAAAGAACAGTCTTTTGTTTTGTTTGTTTGTTTGAGTTTTTGACCTTGTTTGCGTTAAAATTGCCCAAAAAAGAAGCACTAAGAAGAGATGATAATGCTATTAAAACACCATGTACACAGTTTAGTAGTGAAGAAAGCAGATTTAGTGTTTAGTTCCACTTTAAACTGAACACAGGAAAAATACTGCAGTAAAACACACGAGCACTGACCATTGTCACACCTCCAGTTGATGTTGATGCAGCGGCCATTGTTACAGGTGAACTGGGTCAGGGGGAAGCAGGTGGGGTACGCTGAAATCACAACTCAAAATGTTACATATTTTCAGAAGATTTGCACTGGAAAATCAAGCTTTTATTGTCAGAGGATTTGAATCTCAGTATGATGACCTCCGTTTCATTTTGGGCTATACAAAATAAAATTTAATTCATTAATATGAAAAAAAAAAGAGTTAAAGATTTGTTAAAAACATTGAAAAAAATGTATGTGGTTTCAACTAAAGCTTCAGTACACTCTCATACATATTTGTAGGCTTATAATAATTACTCAAGTGAAATAAATGAACTGAACAATGAAAGAGTATTTAAAAGTATAGTAATATAAATAGTATAACAGTATAAATGTACACAGTCAAATACAAACATACTACAAGAAGGCAAGTCACTCATGTGGACTATATAACTTTTTGGTGGAGGTCAACCACCTGCTTGTCTCCATGAAGTATGACAGTGTGACATTAAACTTATTTCCATGAAGGCAGGCTGGTGACATAAATAGATCACATTACAGGCCTGATCTGTGGAGTGGCGACCACTCACCTATAATTTAATGAATGTAAGATGGATGGGTTTAATGACACACTGTGGGATGTTCTAGACCAAGCAAAAGCATCTCTATGGAGACAAGCTGGTGACGAACCTTGAAAAGTTACATAATGCACAATTTAAGTTTACCGGCAATGGTGAGTCCTGCACAGGTCCATTTCTGGAGACCCGCACTCAAGCAGTACAGCACCGCACCCGCCCGTTAACCCGTGATTATATCAAAGTTAAAACCACACCCGCCCAGAACAGTTAATATTCCTCTCGTTACCCACCCGTGCCCGTGATAAATCACACACAGATTAAAAGCATTCTAACTGAAGCATCTATCAGGATAAAGAATTGAAAAGTTACGACTTCAAGAATTACAATCACAAAATGAAATGAAACGGTTACACTTCCTTCAGTACGAATACGAATTCACAGACGCGAGTCGACTGTCAAAAATATATCATCACTTCACAGGCTTTATTTACTGAGCAGAAGAAACACTGATCAAGATGCTGGACTTTTGCACCGCACACGCCATGGACTGAACCAGGACTAAACCAGGACTAACCTAGGACTAACCTAGGACTGAACCAGGAGGACTAAACCAGAACTGAACCAGGACTCACGGTCGGGATGGGCAATGAGGTGCGCCCATGTAGAATGTCGGGTGACCGCTGGTGAAAGCACTGGTGCAGAACTCTGCGCCCAATGGAGGTAAATGCTTTGCTGACACCCTGCTCCACAGGCTTGAGGTTCTCCCTCTCTCTTGAGTCCAAGATTAGTCCTGATGTAATCCTGGTTTAGTCCTGATTTAGTCCTTACCTACCCGTGTGTAATTACTACCCACATACCTGCCCATAAAATTATAGAACGTTAAAACCTGCCCGTTTCAGCAACTATTTGCCCGTACCCTGTGCAGGACTCTGGTTTAAAGTAAGGAAAAAACAGAAATGTAATACAATTTAGAAGGTACTGGTCATTTTAAAAGGCAATACATAACAAAGTGTTGAACTAATACTGTATCAAATATTTGCTTATAAAGTAAAGTTTTGAGAAAAAGATGTAACCCACCACAAGAGGCCGGCTCGTCCGATCGGTCTCCACAGTCATCGTCCAGGTCACAGGTCCAGGAGATGGGGATACAGCGCCCACTGGCACACGAGTACTGGTTTGGAGGACAAGTACGAGCTGGAAGTGCAAAGATCTCATGAAGGAATAATAATCATTTCAAATTCGTGATATTATTTATGTGTAATCATCTTCTGTACTGGATTTACCACATAAACTAAGATAGCTTATATATGCATTGATTTATACCAGATGCCCTAACTAATAAAACTATGAGCCTTGTGGGTTAAGCACTCCCATCTTCACAGACATCTTTAATACCTCCCTGGAGTCAGGCCATGTCCCGGCCTGTTTCAAGTCATCCATCATCGTTCCTGTCCCTAAGAAGGTTCAGATCACTGCCTAAAGCACCCATATTAAACAACTATTGACTCTTGTGAGCTTTGAACCATGTTATAATGTCATTATCTCCTCAAAAACATAACCGGACTTATGTTTTTTTGTTTTTTTTTCATACATGCTTGAGTAACCCTTTATTAATAGTTTGTCTATATTTTACATTTTATTACCTTTTAGCTTTAGCGGTAGAGACTGGTAATCCAAATATTCAAATGTGTTTAATGTTTGAGAGAAGAATGTGTGTGAATGAAACAAAACACAGCTAAGGGTATGTTTTGATAAGAAAACAACATTTATCATATTTTTTGGACTATAAGTGGTGCTTTTTTCATGGTTTGGGTGTTTCCTGTGACTTATATATTAAAATATTCACAGTGAAACGTTTAGAGGCTCTAGTCTTGTGTGTGAGTATCTGCTGCTCCTGTTCCTCCTGTACCACTGTCACTTCACTCTACTGCACATGTCTCCTGCAGAAAGAGCCTCTGTTCTGTCTGTATCATGTCAGTCGATCGCACCATTACTTCTGCACCACTGAATCAATTTAACATTTAAACAAACTTATAAAGACGACTGAGAAGACTGACTCTGATTTTAAGAAATAAATTTCACCCAAAAAGTGTGACTAATAGTCTGGTGTAACTTATATACGTTTTTTTCTTTTTCATTATGCTTTTTTTAACTAGTGCGACTTATACTCCAGAGAGACTTACAGTCTGAAAAATAAGGTAAACATGGATCAGAAAATGTCGTAATATGGGTCCTTTAATGACTACAGTCTGTGGCTCTGACATCTGCGCTAAGAAGACTTTTCAATGTATGGTTCTTGTCCCATCTCAAGTCCATCCCGTCCCCCTCAAGATGTGTGACAGGCTATAGCGCCCCCAGCTGGTGAACAGGCAGCATAAAGGCAGAGCGTACCGGAGCAGGTGGTGTTGGACTCGTCTTCGTCGTTGCCACAGTCATTGTCTCCGTCACAGAGCCAGCGCAGAGGGATGCACCTGTTATTCTGACACTTGAACCTGTCTGTGGGGCAGGTGTGCTGGTCTGAGACATGAGAGAGAGAAGAGAGGAAGAGGAGAGAAGAGAGGGAATAGAGGACATTTAGAGGGCAATAATAACAAGAACCAAAAAAGAACAGTTTTTACGAGAATTTTTACTATGCCACAAATGTGCAACGTTAGTGTCTTTTTTTTGTAATAGACTAGAATAGAATAATAAAAATATCATACATAAATACATAAAAATGTAAAAATGAATAGAATAGTATATTTAGAATTTTCCATGTTACACTTATTGTAGTGGTAATACAAATCTGGTGTTTGGGAAAATGTGGAGCTTTTATTTCTGTGTTCAGTAAGGTTGATAATGCAGATCTAGTATTACAACTATACTCTTAATATGTCTCAGGTCACCTTTTCTCTTCTCTTGTTTTGTGTTACAGTATTGTGAAGCGTCTTTGAGTAACAATTATAGTAACAAGCGCCATATAAAACACATGTATTATTATAATATACTATAGGAAAACTTCTAGTAGTAATTGCTCAGTCTGCAACAACAGTAGACCACAAAGGAAAAGTGTTAGAAGGTGGAAGGTGAATTAACTTTGCAAAATAGTGCTACAAGTGGAATATTTTGTTGCTGATACTAGAGCAAAAAAAATACTCAGGTAAAAGTATCACATGAACGATCTACTGAAGTAAAAAAGTATTACCTTTTTCAAAAATGCACTTAAAGCGTAAAAAGTAGGGGTGGGACATTAATACGATAATTACAATTAATTCATTACAAATAAAATAACGCATTCAAAATATGAACACATTTTATCGCAATTTGCATGGCAAACAACACGGAACGTTTGTCACAGCACCATGTTGACGCCAATTATACTGAAGCGCACAGTTCCGACTACAACAACAATGGAGCATGAAAGCTGCTGGACTGTACATTTCTATTCAAAAAAAGTATTGACAAAGGCGTCGTTTATTGCAAACTGTGCAGAAAAGAATTTGCAGATCACAGAAGCAGCTCAACCCTACGAGACCATTTAAATGAAAACATGTAACAGAAACTGCTGGAGCTGTTGGCGGGAGCAGTTCTGGTCCAAGTACAAACAAGAGACTACAAACTTGAACAAATGACGGGCTTCAGGAAGAAAATGAGCAAGTAAAATATTGTTATTAATTACAAAGCCTGTAATGAATTAGATTATTTGTTTTAATCAAGTCCCACCCCCAGTAAAAGTAAAAGTATTTCACATAGATTCGGAGATCTATTGAAACTTAAAGTGAATTGTTTTTTCCAGCTGTTTTTATTATTATCTTTTTTTTGCTTAAAGGTGCACTGTGTAACTTTTTTGTTCGGGATCCATCGCCTACTTGTTTCTACGGAGATGTCATTGTTCCATAATACGACATTAAACAGATCAACCTCATATTTATTGAATTACAGGTGGTTTTATAGCTCAAAAATACAAACAGACATTCTGACTGTGAGCAGGGTTGCCTCTCCACAGATCTGACCTGTAACTTGGTCTGGTTTGGTCTCCATGAAGATAGAAAGGTTTAATGCCACACTGTGAAGCATTCCAGACCAAGCAATAACAACTCCATGGAGAAAAGCATTTGACGAACCCTCCACCAGAAAAGTTGCACAATGCACCTTGAAACTATGAAAAATTAAAAAAAATAACCCTCCCTCAGCCTTTTCAGAAGCTCTCAAACTATATTAAAAAATACTTTAACTTTTCAATTCAAAAAATCTACTTAAAAATGCATCGTGTCACTTTTCCCGTGGCGGGCCCATCAAACACTTTTCTCCATGGAGATGATATTGCTTTGTCCAGAATGTTTCACAGTATGGCATTAAATCCTTTCTATCTTCATGAAGACCAAACCAGACCAAGTTACAGGTCAGATCTGTGGAGAGACGACCGCGCTCACAGTCAGAATTCCTTTTTTTCTACGTATTTTTAAACTATAAAAACACCTGTAACTGAATAAATGTAAGGTAGAACTGTTTAATGTCACACTGTGGAACATTCCAGGCAGAACAATGACATCTCCACAGAAACAAGAAGATGACAGACCCACAACCAAAACGTCACATAGTGCATCTTTAAGTAAAGTACAGATACCTGCAAATACAGTCCTTCACGACTTTCACTTGGTTACGTTCCACCATTGATATTGTGTAAATAAATAATCATGGATAAAACTCACGGCAGAGCTCGGGGGCCTCGTCGCTGTTGTCCAGACAGTCATTGTCCCCATCGCACTTCCATCGCTCCTGGATACAGCGGTTGTTCTTGCAGGCGAACTCCCCGGGCTGGCACTGAGGAGGGGGGATGTACGACGGGTTGGCTGGGGACACAAATCACATTACTGTTTACTAAAGATGGTACAAGATCTCATGCTGCAAGATCTCAAGAGACAAAATTGCCACAAGATAGTGCACACAGGAGAAAAATTATCTTGTGAGATTGGACAAAAAATGGTTACTGGGTTGTCTTACAGTTCCAAAAAGCAGTAGCTTATTTTTCGAACTACAAGATGCACTTAAAATCCTTTAATTTTCTCAAAAACCGTCTTAATTTTATGCATTCATTCTGATTGTGCTTACTGACCTTGAACTGATTTTATGCGTAACACAGCGCTCAAAAATCTGTCAAAATGCTTTAGTATGACACACTGCTTGATGGATTGTTGGAGCATTACAGCGGGGAGGCCCAGGTATTGTGGATGCCCAGGCTAAGGGATCAGCCTCAACTGTCTTCCCGAGGGTTCACGAAGACTGGAATCATCACCGAACAGCTAAGCAACAGCGATGAAACCAACTTGGATAATGACAAAAGGAATCCGGGCTCGATGCCGAAATCACCCAACTGTTAAAGTCAGACACGGAAGATGAAGAATCTGATAGATTTGTGGAAGAGGAAATGAACTGAGTGTACTGTTTTGTATTTTATGTGTTACAGCTGAACAATGTTGAGAGTTTTTGTGAATGAGTTGAATAAAGTTTGACTCATCTGACTGTTTTGTTTCACTTAATGCTCCTTATAACCTGGTGCCCCTTATGTATGAAAATAGACGAGAGACATTATTGATTAGGGCTGTGCAAAAATATTGACATATCGATATATTGTATTGTTTAATGTGATGATACAGTATCAATATCGTAGACTGCTGTATCGATATATCACCAAGAGTATTTTGGGGTATATTTTCACTAATTATTTTGTTACAGCGCTTAAAATGTGCAAAACTAAACACAGTTGGGACCACTGTTGGGAGTAACGTGTTATAGAAGTAATGAATTACTGTAATACATTGCTTTTTGCTGTAACACAGTAATGTTATGGCATTAGAGGGAAAAAAAATAGTAATATTTTACTCAGTACAAATGTCAGTAACACGCATCACAATGCTTTTTTAACCTGGATTGAAGTGGTGGGTTTTTCTTCATACAAATTTGCTAAAATCACCGAAATATCAGCAGCGGGGAAACGCCAGAGATGTGCCCGTGTAGTTCTAGCCCAGGTTTAGTCCTGGTTTAGACCTGGCTTAGTCCTGGTTCATTTCTGGTTTAGTCCTGGTTTAGTCCTTGTTTAGACCTGGTTTAGACCTGGGAAGGAAGGAATCTTTTTTTATGCAACACATTTGACATTTTCACTGTTTTGATGATTAAAATGGGCATTTTTCAGATGAACTTTCCGCAAGAAGTAGTTTAACAAACACTTTTAGTATCAGAGTCATGATTTAGCTTTTCTTTTTTAATTAACCATATCGAATCGATTTGAAATCGACCCTAACCCTAATTCGAAAGTGTACTGTATCGAGATATGTATCGTATCGTGGCCTGTGTATCGTGTATTGTGTATTTATCGTATCGGCAACTTCTTAATGATACCCAGCCCTATTATTGATATTGCGCCTTATAATCCAGTGTGCTTTATAGTCTGAAAAACACGGTACTAGAATGGAAACAAAAATATGAAATAAAATTAATAAAAAAGAAATTGTGGGGAATCTGAATCATTAAATTTATATAGAAGAAATTATGTTAAAATCTCTTCTTGTCTCGTTCTCGTGGACCCAGTCTCGTATCTTGAAGATCTAGAATATTTAAAGGGCCCATGTTAAGCTATTTTCTGATCTAGAGTATGCTCTAATGTTGTTTCCTCATCACAAACAGACCTGGAGTTGTGTTTTGTTTCACTCACACACGTTTAAGACACAAACCCTGCAGATTTAGTTCTTCTCTGAAACAGAAAACACTCTGTTCCACCTTGCGCTATCACGGGAAGTGCTCCACTGTGTTTTTAAACTCCATACACCTTCACTAGAAATGTCAATCTCTACTAAACAAACGTAAAAGGTTGCTTGAAATCTACAGCTTCGTGACATGACAAGGTAGAACTGAACATTTAAAGCTTTGGAGCTGTAAACAGACTAATAATAAAGGGTTACTCAGACCTGTGTGAGTGAAATAAAACACAACTCCAGGTTTGTTTTTGAGGAGGTAACAACATTCTAACATAATAAAAGCTCACAGGAGTCAATTTTGTGTAATAATTAAAAAAAAGAATATATGGCTGGTGAATGAATGAGTAAAGTGGTTCTGAGCATACATACTTGACTGTATTTTTGTCTTGCTAAAAACAAAAACAAAATGTGTAAGATGTAGTCTTCCCGCCTGGACAAACTGAAGTAGGTCTGGCAGAGAAGACGTGACAGAATGGGTTTAAAATGTTCCAGGAGTCACAGTCACCGCCCTGAGTCATCTTCACCGAGAGCCCGAGAATTAACAACAACACAGTGCAACAGAGCTGAGCCGGAGAAATGAACACGGCAGAGGAGAAGGGAGGGCAGAGGGCAGAGGACAGAGGACAGAGGACAGAGGACACAGGGGGAGGCCACTGTAGCAGATCTAGACTTTATTTAAAATGGTCTCACACTTCCGGACAAACTTGGGACTGAATATGGACTAAAGGAATTAAACCTAAATGACTCGAAGACAGGGCCAAACCGGGATGTGTTTGGAAAGTGGGAGGAGTCAGGAAGTATGTAGGCCGTCTCGTTGATAATAACCACTGTCCACTTTTGTTTTTGCTTTAGTGAGAGCTTTAAGATTAGTCTACTTATTGTTTTCAGAAGCTGGTAAAGTAGTGTTTCAGTATTTTGCACCCACAACCTGGAATCATTACAAACTACACGATGTGAAAATGAGATCTATTTGTTTGTAACATTTTTAAAGCCCGCAAATTCTTCTGATGTGATGTCTAAATATGTGTCGATGTTTTGGCTTTTCCCCTTGAAAAAGAGAAAATGTGTGACAAGCTTTTCACATAAAAATATCTTGCCAGTTTGGTGCAATAATGGAGATGGTGGAAAAGGGACTGAATATCAAGTTGTGCTGACAAATCCCCGCTGTTTAGGTTCAAGTAGACTTTATTGCCCAGGAACGGAAATGTGTCCTCTGCATTTGACCCATGCTTCAATACCACAGGGGCGCCTCGTCAAAAGCAGGTCTTGGTCAGGGCACAGCGTTTCAGGTTCACACAGCTAAAACCTGGAACAGTTTTCCTGAAGATGTGAGACAGGCCTCTACTTTGACGCTGTTTAAATCCAGGCTCAAAACAGTTCTGTTTCGCTGTGCATATGACTGAAAGGTTTTCATTCCGCACTCTTCTCTCTAATTTATCTTCTCTCTAATTTATGTCTCTTTTTTAAAATTTTTATCTTTATGATTATTTATGTTTTGATTTGTTTTTATTGTGATTTTAATGTATTTCTTATTCTGTAAAGCACTTTGAATTACTTTGTGTACGAATTGTGCTATACAAACAAACTTGCCTTGCCGCTTTCAGCTGGAAGATTCTATTGTGCATGTTGTGGGTTATTGAGGAAAACAGGTAGCCAGGCTGGCGCCACCTGGTCCCTCCACTCAATTTCATTTCTCTCCAGCAACTAGGTCAGGAATCAGAATACACTAGACCAGGCAGGTCCAAACTATGGCGCGGGGGTCAAATGCGGCCCTCAGACACATTTTTCTTGGCCCTCAGGCTTCCAGGTGAATTGGCCCAAATTTTCTTGCATCAATTAAAACATAATTTTTTGCTGCAAGTTTTTGAAAATCTACCTTGATAAAGCTAATATTTAATATTTTGTGTGTAGTTTAAGGATTTTTTGAATGAAGACTGATGGCTCATGCTAACATGTTAAACATGCACATATTTCAATTATTCCCTGTACTGAGCACCAGTCTATGGTCCTCGATCGGCCCTCTGCTTCGTCTGTGTTTAGATATGTAAAAAAGTTTGGACACCCCTGCACTAGACAGTTCGCAAAAACCCCAGAAGTGCAAGTTCGAGCACCAACCAATCAGCGAAGAGCCCTATATTCTGTGTTGTCAACAATTTTCGAGATCGAGGATTTAAAGCCGGAATAAAGAGAATGTTTGGTGAATTTCATCAAGGGGTAAGACGTTATTGCCCTTCTTCCTACAGGATTTGGGAAAAGCAGTCGTTTTTGATGGGCTTGGAGGCTTAAGAGCGCGCCCTATGATGCGGAAAATACGGTAAATACAAAAAAAAAAACCTGCATACCGTCAAGCGAACGAATTCTAAGACTGCAATGAATTAGGCTAGAAAACAGGTGTAAAGAACTGAAATCATTCAAGCGCTGGAAGAACATGCATATGCACACCAAGTCTGGGATAAGAACCAGGGACATTTTTGTTATGAGGTGAGAATTTTAATCACCCAGCTACTGTGAAATTGAGAAACAAGTTGTAAGATGAATAGAGTGGTTCTGGTGAAAGAATATGAGTGAAGATGTGTGTTCTTTTTGAAGTCGGTTAGGGTCTTATTATCTCTGATGCTCGTTACAGCTGGTCCCTCCTTAGAGTAAACAGCAGAGGGCAGAGTTCAAGGTGAAAGTTAATAGAGGATTCTCAGCTGGAGGAGGTCTGATGGTAAAAGTCAGGCATGCGCTGGGTGTGACGCCAATGAGAGAGAGGACTTGTTTTGGTCTACTTTAAAAGAACAGTGGATTAGCCTACGCAACTTAAAATGTGCAAAACTAGACACAGTTGGGACCAGTGTTGGGAGTAATGTGTTATAAAAGTGATGAATTACTGTAATGCGTTACTTTTTGCTGTAAAGCAGTAATGTTACAGCATTACAGGGGAAAAAAACTGTAATATTTTACTTGGTACAAATGTCAGTAATGCGCGTCACAATGCTTTTTTAAACCTGTTTTTCTTCATACAAATTTGCTAAAATCACCTCGATATCAGCAGTGATGAAACGCCAAAGACGCCGTGTAGTTCTAGTCCAAGATTAGTCCTGGTTTGGTCCTGGTTTATTCCTGGTTTAGTCCTGGTTTAGTCCTGGTTTAGTCCTTGTTTAGACCTGGTTTAGACCTGGGTCAGTTCTGGTTTAGACCGGGTTGAGTCCTGGTTCAGTTCCGGTTTAGTCCTGGTTTGGTCCTGGTTTAGTCCTGGTTCAGTTCTGGTTTAGTCCTGGTTTGGTCCTGGTTTAGTCCTGGTTCAGTCCGGGTTCAGCTCTGGTTCAGTTTTGGTTTAGTTCTGGTTTAGTCCTTGTTTAGACCTGGTTTAGACCTGGGTCAGTTCTGGTTTAGACCGGGTTTAGTCCTGGTTCAGTCCTCCTGGTTCAGTTCTGGTTTAGTCCTGGTTTAGTCCTGGTCCAGTCCTGGTTTAGTCCTGGTTCTGTCCGGGTTCAGCTCTGGTTCAGTTCTGGTTTAGTTCTGGTTCAGTCCATATACGGCGCAAAAATTCTGCATCTTCGCAGTTATTTTGGTGAGAGTCACTTAAAAGTGCTGCAATAGTCATGCAATGTCTTACATTTTAAATGCAGTAATATTGTAATGTAACAAATTACTTTGAAATGACAGTAATAAGTCATAAATAACACATTACAGTTTTAAAGTAACTTGCCCAGCAGTGGTTGAGACTAGGAGCTGTTTTTCTTCAATATGTAGTTTATTGGATTTATTGGACTGGGGTCTACAAAATGTGAATGGAAATGAAAGGTGTGATACAGACGTTTTGTGGTGAAAAGTGACAAAAACATGGATAAAACAGATAAAACAGTACCTCTGCAGCTGGTGTTGTCGGTGGGGTCCAGGACCTGGTCTTCTGCACAGGCGCAGCTCCTCCCCTCAGGTGTGGCCAGACATAAGCTACTGCAGCCGCCATTGTTCACTCGACACGCGTTTGACCCTAACACAGAAACACACAGTCACAGAGTGATTCATACGTGGAGCTATTCAGCAGTAACATGTACAGAGGAGTCAATCGTCCATTATGTGTGTATAAACCTATCTGCTGCTGAACAGTGGAAAAGAAATACTGTCCAGACCCGAATTTAAACTAGGAGACTTCTAGGGATAAACCAGTGCAGAAGGAAACTAAATTCCATCAGCTGGAAGTTTTATTTTTGAGTGAAAATGTTTACAAGCTACTCATTTAAGTCACGTCCTCGAGTTACAGAGGCTCAGTGGTTCGAGGACTCATCTAACAACACAAAAATCAGATGATCGATTCTTGCTCAGATTAAGTTCTGCTGATGTCTCCTTACGCAAGACATTTCCCTACACTACAAAAAATAAAATCTAGCCAAGTTAAGATGACTTGAATTAAGAACGTTTTATCATGATTTGAGTAAATTTGACTTGACAAGTAAAATGATCTGCCAAAAACTTTTTGTCCTTAAAATATGAAAATACATCTTGCTGCACTTAAGATAAGAGAAACAACAACTCTTTGCCCAGAAAATAAGAAACAAAATCGAATATTGCTTTAATTAAGAGAAACACACTTACTCCACTGGTAGGTAATTTTACTGTCAAGTTTAATCGACTCACATAAAGTAAAGTGTTCTTAATTTAAGTCACTTTCACTTACCTAGATATTGCTTTGGCAGTGTAGTATAAACATTGTGTGTGTGAGATAAATAATATAGTTAAAAAGTTCACTTTATATCATTCAGAAGTTGGCCATACGATACACACCTTGATACACAGGCCACGATACGATATATATCTCGATACAGTGAACTTTCGATTTGACACGATTCAGTGTTATATATTTGTTACGCGCGGGCACACTGATTTGGGCCATCAGTTGTTTTTGTTTCCTTTTTGTAGTAAGTTTTGTAATTGTTGTGAATTGGTGTCTTTTTTTTGTGTAACTTTTTTATGGTTTATTGTTGCGTGCCTTTGTGGAGCCAATAAAAACGTCTGTCTGTCCGTGGCGTGCTCTCTCACTGCTCCGCTCCTCTGTTCTGTGCGCCCTGCTCCGCCTAGCCCCACTCACCTTGCGAGCTCCAGACTCTGTGTGCCCTGAGGGTGGCCTCACCCCTGTCAGCCAGGTGCAGGGTGGGCTGCCATGTAGCTTTTGTTAGCCATTAGCCTTTTGTTTTGACCCGGTCGGACCGGCTGTCCCGTTTTCACTTTTCGTTTGGGTTTAGGTTTTTTGGGTTTTTGTCTTTAGTTACAGGTGCTGGCACCGGCTTCTACGGCCCTGTACGGGGTTGGCCCGGTGTCGCACCTTTTTGTTCTGTTTGGCCGGCTCATCAGGTTTATCTTTATGGATACAGCAGCCCACGATATCGATACTGTATCATCACATTAAACAATATGATTATATTATTATATTTCAATATTTTTGCACATCCCTACCTACACTGAAACTAACACATCTAGATTTTTACAGTCTGGAGGATGTGCTGTTAGTTAAGTCCATTGAGCGTGAGTTAGACCTGTCACCTAAGCCCGCTTGTGCAGAATGGTTCCTGCGTGGGTTCAACACTACTCTGAGTGAGATGGCCCATTAACCCAACACCCAACCCAACCCAGTGCATGACTCATATCTGTGCTTCTGTTGCTTTGTGCAGGGACAGAGTGGAGCACCTTGTTGTTGCTGGGCATCGTACATCCGGATCTCAAAGATGGGTGGTCTCTCATTGCGCAGCAGGGTGGCGGTGCCCGTGGTGGTGTCCAGTTTGAAGATGCTGCCGCTACGATACTCATTCCAAAATAAAAAGTGTTTATAGTGACACAGGCCGAAGGCGTGGTTCAGCTCCTGACCCTCGTACACAGTCTGCAAGAAGAACACGACAGACAAAACTATTTAAGGAGCATGTTATGATCACTGTTGGGCAAGTGACTTCAAAACTGTAATGTGTTATTTATGACTTGTAACTGTCATTTCAGAGTAATTTGTTACATTATAATATTACTGTATTTATAATGTAAGACATTACACAACTACTGCAGTACTTTAAGTTACTCTCACCAAAATAACTGTGTGAAGATGCAGAACTTTTGTGCCGTATATGGACTGAACCAGGACTAAACCAGGACTGAACCAGGATTGAACTAGGAAACCAGGGCTGAACCAGGACTAAACCAGGACTGAACCAGGACTAAACCAGGCCTAAACCAGGACTGAACCAGGACTGAACCAGGATTGACCCAGGACTGAACCAGGACTAAACCAGGACTGAACCAGGACTGAACCAGGATTGACCCAGGACTGAACCAGGACTAAATCAGGACTGAACCAGAGCTGAACCGAGGACTGAACCAGGATTAAACCAGGACTGAACCGAGGACTAAACCAGGCCTGAACCAGGACTAACCCAGGTCTAAACCAGGACCAAACCAGGACTAATCTTGGACTAGGACTTGGAATCTAAAAGAAAAACTCACCACTTCAATCCAGGTTAAAAATGCAAATTTTTTGTACCGAGTCAAATATTATAATTTTTTCCCTGTAATGCCACATTATTGCGTTACAGCAAAAAGCAACACATTACAGTAATTTGTTTCTTTTGTAATGTGTTACTCCCAACACTAGTTATGATTCTCTGTACCATTCTTAATCAATCATAGCAACTATAGTAACATTATTTAACCAGGGGCATATTGTGTAAAGTCAACTTATATGAGCGTTTAACCAAGTTCAATCATCATTAACTTAAACTTGCAATGAGTCATGTACTGTGTGCATGTATGTCCGTCACCTGCTTGCTGTTTCTATGAATATGTCATTGCTGTGCCTGAAATATTCCACAGTATGACATTAAACCAATCTACCTAACATTTATTAGATTACAGATGGTTTTATGTCTCACAAATACCTTGAAAAACAGACGTTCTGAATGTGATCTGACCTGTAACTTGGTCTGGTCTCCATGAAGATTGAAAGGTTTAATGCCATACTGTGAAACATTCCAGAAAAAGCAATAACACTTCCACCAAAAAAGTTACACAATGCAGCTTTAGGTAACACTGTATTGTCTGTAGTGTAGTGCTCTGAAAATGTCAATGTTCCCCTGCCTCCTGTCTCTACCCTCTTACTCACTTTCTGTTATTAAATGTCTGCAGTTTTCAACAGGAAGTCAATGCACCTACAGCAGGGGTTTATGTTTCATAGGCATCTAACTGTACCCAAAGGTTCACCCTCTTTCTATTTGCAGCCGCTATTGAGCGCACTTGAATATACACTGCATCAACTACATTTTAAATAAATTTTAAAACTGTACATATATAGGCCGCACTTGAATAAAAGCCGCAGGTGTCCAAGTCTCAAGAATGTTTTCAAGTTCAGGCGTCTGCTTTTATCGCCTCTGAAAGCTTTTGTCATCTTTTTACATTGAGTCAGTTCGTCAGTTCGCCAAAATCTCACCATCGACTCACTGATGTCGAGCTCAAGTGCAGCAGCCTTTCCTTCTTCTACAGCCACATCTTTTTTTTTTTATTAACTTAAAAGCTGCATCATCTCTATTTCTTTATGTGTTTTCCATGAGGAGGGTGTGTGTATGAAACAAAATAACAAACTAGAATCTTCCTCGGCGCATCACCCCCATCTCTCCCCCCACTCTAATGCGCAAGTCTCCTGCAGAAAGAGCCTCTGTCCTGTCTGTATCATGTCAGTGTCTTGTAGGATTTCAGCAGATTTCAGATTCTCTCGGGAGCGGGGCTAGTTCTATCAATCAGGTATGAGAGGATGTGCAGCTACTGAAATTTGAGACGCTTCTTCTCGTCATTTACACACACGGGTAAGACGTATCCCCCTCACTAATGTTCATTTAGCATCAGAACTTAAACTGTTTGAGTGCACTGATAATATCACGAGCTAGTGTAGCAACTTCATGTGAACTCTAGATCCTTGTGTAACCTCACAGACAGCGATGTTTTCTGCACTCAGACATTCCAAACCATAGACCGTATATATGAATGGACAATGTGCCAAACAAAGAATCCATCCAAATATTGGTTGCATCGTTTTGTTAGCTACAGGGTTCAAAGTGTGAGAAAAAGTAGTGGCTTATAGTCCGGAAATTACAGTAACTCTCTGGCATTTTTGTTTTGTAAAGGAGCTCACCGGAGGAAAAATGTTGGAGACCCCTGACCTACAGTGTATATACATTGTAAAATGATGATCTGTGTATGTTATACTTCAATATTACACACTTAAATAGAACATATGTCAACTTTGAAAACAATGTCTGACTATTACAATGTTTGATCTCAATTATTGCTTCACGTTTTGGAAAAAGATTGATTAAAATAAACATTTTGTTAGTCAAGTCATTTATATAATCCTCAGTAATAAAAGTATGCACAAACTAGACTAATAATCTTGTTTCAGTTGATTCTTGAGTAGGAATGTAACAATAACCGAAATATTGTGATATCGTGTTGTCCAAAATCTCACAATAATATCGTGGATCATCACAATATATCGAATTACAAGTCTCTTTGCTTAAATTAAAAGTTATGGTGCAGCAATTGCTAAAAAACAGTGGGAACTACATAGACCATGATCCTTTGCTCTGTTTCAGTGCAGACTATGTGAAGAAATAACTTTTTAAGCACTTTTAAATGTTAGTGTTAATTCTTGTCAAGGAATTTTAAGAGGAAAAAGTAGCGTATTCTCAGTTTTGTAAATATGGTTTTGGATTTAGATCTCGTTACATCCCTGTTCTTTGGATGATCTTTATTTCAGTTGATTTAAAAATAGCATACGCAGTAGAATAAGACATAAAATGATCAAATGAATGCTAACTTGGCTTCCTCTCTGTGCATAGAACAGAGTAAACACTAATAAACTAAAACATGTCTTTGCACTGCGGAGGACCACCCACTGAGGCCTGTAATGAGCTCAGTCTCTGCTGGTTAAACCCTGTCAAAACAATCTCGCTCACTCCAGCGACAACTTCTGTTTTCAGACCAGACGTTCAACTCTTCACTGCAAAAACACCAAGAAAAACGACTGAGGAAAATAACAAAAAAACTGATTATTTATCTGTTTGTTCACTGGACCGATTTGGATCTTAATTATCTCAATTTAGATTGGATTTCAAGAACATTTATCTGTCAGATGAGTGGAGAATTCTACTGTATGAAATAAATGATTACAGACATGATTTTTTTTCTGATAAAGCTTGTTCTTTAACCCAATGGCTCTCAAACTTTTCACACCAAGTATTGTCAGTAAAAGTGTTGGCTTTCTGAGGACCACAAGCTCTAAACCAAGTCTATAACAGGACTATTCCAGGTCTAATCTAGGGCTAAACCAGGTCTAAAAGTGGACTACATCATTTCCATTGTAGTTCTAAGTAGGGCCAGTCTGATATGGATTTTTTAAAACAGGATTTGGAGGCACCCAGAGCCGATATAAAAGCCGATATATTTAGTAATGTAAAAATTCAATATAAATCTTCAGTTAATTATAAAACTTAGGTTTGGTTCAATTGCATTTAAAATTGGGTTTGTTTAGGTGACATTTATTGTTATTCTGCCTCTTTACAGTCATATTTAAAGACAGGAGGTCGGCCTAATGGCAGTTTTTCATCACATTCTAATCTGTAAACAAAGTAAATAAATTACCGCTAAAAGCCTTAAGTGGTAAATGTGTGCGCCGCTGTCATTAATTATGCGTAAATGGAGATCATTTACAGCTCTATTCACAGCTCATTTACATATCAATACAGGCCCAAACACATACATACAGCCACTATAGTCACTTTACACTAGGCCAGTGTCAGAGAAAACAGGCTGTAATGTGTGGGGGCTACAGCAGCTAAACATTAAGAAAGAACCAAAAGTAGCTTCAAAACCAACACATTTAAAACACTCAGCGCTCACACAGACACCTCAAGTGTTCACTAATAAGTGTCCTTTTAATTCTGACTCAGAAAGATTGTCCGTAAAAAGAAAATAATCCAGCATGTTGACAGCAGCTGCAGGTGTAAACAAGCGCAGGTGAGTGACATGAGTCTGGGGGTGTGTTCAGGGGCAGTAAGGCGACATAGACAAATTATTCAGCAGATAAATACTGATGTGGCGCCACATATTAGGACATTTATCTGTCTGTATATTGGATTAAATGGACATAATAGAAAAGTCTACACTTTATAAGGAGGTATAACCTGCCCATGTGGACTACTGGCCCAGATCAGTAAGATTTAGGCCAATAGTCGATATGTTTCCAAGTGCCCATATCGGCTCATAATATCGCCAACCGATATATATCATTCGGGCCCTAGTCCTAAAGAAGAAATATCCAAATCAGGATTTTAAAAAATGATCAAATTAACTCTAAATGAGGCAAACCCAAAAACTGAGTAGCTGTCCAAGTACCACCTGATGGATCTTGAATACCACCATGTACCATGTTTGAGAAATACTGTTCTATACTTCTACACTGGGTATCTGATTTTCTAAAGAAAGTACACATTTAAATCCATCCTAGTGCTTGCAAACCCTTTGGCACATTGCTAGTATTAACATACATTCATTTCTGATGGCTCACACACTTTGTTGCTCCTATGACCTCTTGTATAAAGCTGAGATTTTATTCTGACTTGTACATATACATTTATAGAATTATGCCTTATTGACACCTGTTTCTTGCTCTATTTTTGCTACTTATTTTGAATTTATTATCACCATTTATTTACTCTTTGTTATTATATTATATTGCTATGTGTGAGCTACTGTGTCCAAATAATTTCTCTTGTGGACCAATAAAGTTTGTCTAAGGCAATGTTCAGACTGCAGGGTTTAATGCACAATTCTGATTTTTTTTTTTGTGAAATCAGATTTTTTTGCGAGGTCGTTCACATTTCTAATTAATTATGAATTGTATGTGATCTCCAGTACCGAATTTTAAATGCCCCCAAAGTGTCCCTCATGCAGCAGTTTTAAAGTTGCTGTTGCACTGGAGCCAGAACATGTACAGCTTATTTGTTTAAAGGAGGAGATTGAGAAGGAGAAGGACGAGGTTTTGTGGCCATTTCTGTGTTTTGTTTTGTGGGGCAGTGGCAGCAACGTCCGTAGAAAGGAACGTGTGAGGGCAGAGTCGCAGCCAAGAGTGATATATGTTGACTGATATGTGCTTTGCTGCTTCACTGACACGTAGTTCGAGAAGAACGTTTGTATACATTTGTGTGCACCTACTTGTATCACTTGTTGATGATGTGTAGGTGGGATGAATATGACCTGGCCATTCAGACTGAAGTCGCATGTCAAACGATCAGTCACATATCCAAGTGGTCTGTGTCACATTTGAAAAAGTCAGATCTGTGTGGTTCAGACTGTCATTAATAGATCAGCTACAGGAGCATAGAGGAGAAAAAATCACTTCAGGCTGCAGTCTGAACATAACCTAAGTCTAAAAACACCGAAACAAAGTGAACCACCCTTGCACAGCCAATCTCATCCCAAAGTTTAATACAGTGGCTCACAGGGCTGTTTCTGACAAGTTCGTAATAGGCACAGCAGCACATTTAAAAGTGCATTGTGTAACTTTTCTGCTATGGGGCTTGACTGCATGTGGATGTTATTGTTTCTTCTTGAAATGTTCTACAGCATGACATTTCATTTAACCATCTCCGTGGAGACAAGCAGTCACATCACCAGGCCAAGTTACAGGCCGGATGAGTAGAGAAGTGGCTCTGCTCACTGTAAGAATGCATGTTTTGTGGTGGTTTTGAGAAATTAAAAACTCCCATATCCATAAGAAAATGCAAGATATATTTGTTTAACACCATACTGTGGAACATCCAGCAAAACAATAAAGTTACCATGGAGACAAGCAGATCACAGACCCCCCACCAGAAAAGTTACACGATGCACCTGTAACTAAAAAACATCCAATTGTTTTTATATGTAAAATACTTTAGTTTGAGGCTGCTATTTTTTAAATATTTATTATACCTCAAGAGCATTGAGACAAACATTTGCATTTCTAAACTGAGTCCCCCAGTGAGGTATTCTCTTCATTTGTTTAGTCTTTATCATGTCAGTGACATCCACCTGCAGCGCTCTGCCCACTGACTTCTCTTTAAATATTTATTCATTTTAGCATGACTCGGATTTGGAAAAAAAGCAAAAAACACACAAATACAATTAGACAGGAAGTAATGGTGCGTTCGATTATCCATCCGTCTCTCACTCGTATCTCAGATATGACGTCGCATCCACACTTCAACAGTTTTATTATGTTCCGCTCGTCCGACTTGGAGAAAAACATTGACGCCAACTGAAAAGTTGTTATTGTTGTTAGCAACCCTGGGGACGTTTAGCAACACCCTTTTAAAACAAGTTTTTGTTCAGTACTGGCCTCACCACAACATCGACTTCCATCCCCACAGGCAGTGATACAGACGCAGTGAGGTACTGCAGTAATGCGAGTGACTGAAATTGTCACTGAAACCACCAAAGCTTCAAACACAATGAAAACAGCTCATACTCAAAAGTGACACTGGGTTCAGCCATCTAGGATTCTATCTCATTGCTTGGTCTCCTCCGAGCTCTTCCGAGTTCTGCCGTCCAAGGAAAAGGGGCGTGTCAGTGCATGTCACGAGGCAACGTCCAAGTCAAATGGATAATCGAACACACCATAATAGTGCTAACAGTGAAGTTGCCAGATGCTGTTGCGCAATGGAGCCAATAGATAAAATGTTTTCTGATCAGATATAGACAGCGTATAACAGTCTGATATTTGTTGGAGTTTTGTTTTTTACAATACATTCATACATTTTCTGTGAGGAGTATTTAATAAAAAAAAAAGTGTAACTAAAAACTAAATCTGCTTTTTTTGGACAACGTTAGTGCAAACTAGATACATTTGTAGCTTTCTGGTGCGTGCTGCCTCCAGAGCCCCCCTCCCCTTTAGTCCTCCAGACCCCACCCCTCCTCCTCCCCCTCACTCTCCCCTTTAGTCCTCCAGACCCCGGCCCTCCCAGTCCTCCAGACCCATCCCTCCTCGACCCTCACACTCACTCTTTTAGTCCTCCAGACCCTACCCCTCCTCCTTCCCCTTCAGTCCTGTAGACCCCGCCCCTCCACCCCCCTCACTCTCCCCTTTCGTCCTCCAGACCCCGCCCCTCCTTCTACCCCCCTCACTCTCCCCCTTTAGTCTTTCAGACCCTACCCCTCCTCCTCCCCCTCACTTTCTCCTTTAGTCCTCCAGACCCTGTCCCTCTTCCTCCCCCTTCACTCTCCCCTTTAGTCCTCCAGGTCCTGCCTCTCTACCCCTCTCACTCTCCCCTTTAGTCCTCCAGACCCCACCCCCTCCACCCCCTCACTCTCCCCTTCAGTCCTCCAGACCCCGCCCCTCTTCCTTCCCGTTCACTCTCCCCTTTAGTCCTCTAGACCCCGCCCCCTCCACCTCCCTCACTCTCCCCCTTTAGTCCTCCAGACCCTGCCCCTATTGTTCGTTTAGTCCCAGTGTAACAGCCTCACCTTCCTCTCGGACGTGTTGAGGTAGACCATCTCGATGCGGTCGTAGTAGGCGTCCACCCAGTACAGGATTCCTTTGGGGATGTCCAGGCTCAGTCCGTTTGGCCACAGGACGGTTTTACTGGTGAGGAACACGTTTCGGTTTGTCCCGTCCATCCAGGCACGCTCGATTTTACCACGTTTACTCGCCTTTGGGTCCTCCTCCCAGTCTGTCCAGTACATCCACCTGGAAGAAAGAGGGGGGAGGTTAGGCAGGGAATTGGCTGGGTATTATTAAAAGTAGTCATGCAGATTTATTCATTTTATTATGTACTTAATTCTTTTGGGCTTTATGAGTCGTATTTTCAGCTAAACAGTTTCTGAAGTTTCTGAAGTGTGTTGATATTGAACTTTTGACTGTCCAGGGGCCTCATTTATACAATTTTACGTGGGATGGTACAGAAAAACACAAAGTTCCTCAGACTTCCTCAAACTTCCCTCTAGGTTTTCTTTTTTGGTTTGTGAAGTCTCTCTCTCACTCCTCTCCGCCTCTCCTCTTTCCCTCGTATCACCTTCTCTTCTCTTCTCTTACCCGTGCAGAGGATCCACAACGATGGCTCTGGGGTGTGTCATCTTTCCTTCGATCAGTGTCTTTTTGGTCTGTGAGGCCTTCTCCAGTCGGGCAACACTGATGGTCTTCTTTGGCCCGTCGTCCGTCCAGTACAAGTTATCGGCCATCCAGTCCACGGCGATGCCCTCTACTGTGTGGATACCTGCACAACAGCCACAGGAGAAGTGTATTAATGAAGGGTTTTAGGTGATTTTTCAACATTCTATAGCCTCTTCCACATGCATTCTAAAGATGTCTCATTCTATATTCTCCAATGTACTTTCAGTGAGAGAGTTGGGCCTCAAAATTAGCATGAGTCCAAATGAGAACTTTCTGTTTTGCATCATTTAAATTAATAGAGTGTAGCATCGTAGTACTCGAGACCGGTCTTGGTTTTTTTGCAGTCTTGGTCTCGAGGTCTGACGTGATCATATTTCATTACGGCTTGTGTTGTCGGCGCTAAACTTATACCAGTGTGCGTGAACATTAATTAGATAGACTTGAGAGAAATTTATTTTAAAAATTGATATGAATGTGGCAAAATAACTGAAAAATACAAATAAATATAGAAAATTACCAAGACGGTCTCAATTTGGTCTCAATGGGTCATGGTCTTGGGCTTGTCTCTTTTTCAACCTTTAAAAGTCTTGGTCTTGTCTTGGGATCCTGTGTTCTCAGACAGGTCTTGGTCTTGAATAGTTTGGTCTTGACTACAACTGTAGTAGAGTGTTCATTTCAATACCAGAGTGTGCGTAGCTATTCTACTTTTTTTCCACAAATGTGCTAGGTGTTATACCCTTACAAAAGTGTGATTGTTGTCATTTGTCAGGACGACCTGGTCTTTGTTCAGGCTCTCCCTGTGCTCTCTGCTCTTCTTCTGTCAGGCCAAAGCTGACACACTATCAGACAGCAGTAGTGTAGATATAGCATCTAGTGAGTAGAGTAGAACAGGGCCAGTTCGGCCAATGTAATTACAAATGATAAGTTCATAAGTTCATGAAAAATATGGCAGATCCAATCCCTATTAAATTGTGAAAAGCTGTAAAATCTGGAGATTTTTGGTTTGCTTGTTGATTTGAACTGTGAAATAGATCATGGAGATATAGACTGCAGCTCTCCATCTGAAATTCTGACATCAAATGAAAGAATTTCATAAAAGCAACCCAATACATGAAAGTGCATTGTTGAATGGAACAAGATGTAGTTATCTAACCTTCCTTTAAGATGGTGTCCCTCTCCGTGCCGTCGATCTTCTGGCGTCCGATGATGTAGCTGGTGGCGTCGGCGAAGTAGATGAAGTCGCTCTCAGAGTGGAAGTCCAGGGCGCGCGGGTTCATCAGGTTTTCGATGGGGATCATGTACTCGTCTGGGACTTTAGCGTTCATGTCCATTCCTCTGATGACCCCGGGGCGACCTTTACCGTACACCAGGAACAGCTCGTGCTCGGGCTCTGCAGAAAAACAATGTTCATCATGTTTCTTCCAAATGGACTTTTTGGAGCTTTAAATAAAACCTGTTATACAAAATCAACTATATGAGCTTTCAACCTTGTTTTAATGGTGATGCCTCGTCATCAGATCAGTTAAAGGTATATTTTGATTGATTCAGGCATATTAGAGTCATCTTTTGTTGTTTTGCATATTAAGTTATTTTCTGATCCATGTTATAGTAGCTCACAAGAGTACATTTTTCATAGGATGTTAAAGTAAGAATAAATGATCATTTTCTTCCAACAACCTATCTCCACCCACATTCTTGTATTTAGTTGTGATTATTTGACTGGTATTACCCACCCCTAATGTCTTGCTTATTGCTTCTAGGTTTGATTTCAAGTTTAAAGATCATTTTAAAAACTAAATATTGACTGCGTATAAATGTACTTCTTACTACTTATAAAAGCATTGCCGGCGTGTATGCATCTTGGACGAAGCCCCAGAAGTAAAATGAAGGATTGATTATGTAGTTTAGATGAAGTGGTGGAAAATAGTTTTGTTGCCATAATAATTATAGGTTTAATCAGCCGTGTTATTTCCAAGGGCGTTTTCAGTAGATCAATACGACGTTAGAAATATTTCACAGAATATTTGGAGCTTTGTGGATCCCGCCGCCTCGTCTTTGTTCCGCTCAGAGCATTTCAAATATAACCTTGGCCGTCCTTGGTTTAGATCGATACACACGGACGCCCAAACACTTTTTTATAAGGAGACAACACTCACAGCTGATTACATTGTTTATGGCCACAGTGGAAAAAGCCATTTACAGAAGTGTTCCAAATTCCGGTGGTTCAAATACACGGCAAACTTTTCTATACTAAGACATAGAGCTGGGTGCCCTTCGGTTTGTTTGGCACCAAGTACTTGTGACACTTAAAGTACTCGATGCAACTGTACAGATTTTTCCCATGCACGCCCACGCAAAGTGTTTTCAGAGAGTGTGAAGAACACGTGTGAACAATGAGCGGCGTTTAGAGCGATGGAAGCACAGAGCGACCAGTGAGAACAGTCAACAGCGTCCAACGTGCTGCAAGTCTACACGAAGTATAACTACAAAGACCAACATTTGAAAAAGGACAAAGTCACTGGATTTCTCATTCCTTGGAAAATCCTCTATACAACCTTTAAGTCAACAATATCCTGCATTTTCAAGACTTTAAGTTAAACAAATATTGGGTTGGATGGCTCCCTACAATGACTGTTGGTGACAATTCTCAAGGCCCTTTTTTGTAAAATAAATAAAGGTTGTAGGTAAGTTTTACATGTTGACCCCCAAATTTCTACACAGTACGTCAGATATGGTGCAATTATAGAGTTATACAAAGTAATAGTACAAAGTCTTCCAGCTCCTTCTGACTCTGGTTCCAATGGACTTACATTAGGATCTTGTGGCTCCTCTCTCTGTCCCTGCTGCAGTGAACCTCATCATTTTGATCTTAAAATGTTTGTATTAATCCACTCTACATGATCCATTTTTTTTTTTTTTCGATATTTTGTCCGTCAAAAAAATCCCATTCATAACATAGAGCCTGGCTCCAGATTCACTCTTGTAACCATAAACATCACGAGCCTCATTTGAGCGGTGCTGAACACTATTGGCGACATCACACACACTTAGTCCACTTCTTTTATAAAGTCTATGCAAGGGATGTAATGATATCCAAATCTCTCAATACGATACGATATTTTCACAATATACATCTCACGGTACAACATTTATAGAGATATTCTGTGAAAACTGTGAATACGATACTTTTTCCTCTTAAAATGCCTCGACAAGACTCAACCCAAAGAACTAAGACTTAAAAGTGTTTATAACAGTTACCTCTTCATGTACTCTACACTAAAATGGAGCAAAGGATCATGGTCTATGTAGTTCTCTCTGTTCTCTGTTGTTGTTTTTTTAGCTATTGTTGCACCACAACTATTAATTTAAGCAAATAGACTTGTAATTCGATATATTGTGATGGTCCACGATATTATTTTGAGACTTTGAGACTATCATAATATTTTGGTGATTGTTACATCCCTAATACCATATTTTCCGGGCTCTGGATTATATGGTGCACTGTCATTAAATGGTCTATTTTCGAAACTTTTTTCACAAATAAACCGCACTGGACTTTAAAGGAAACACAACAGTTGGATGGGTCAGTGGGACTTTGTTTGGCGCGTTCACAGGTGACTCTGGGCTTTGTTCAGTTGTGGTGTGTAGGGAGGGTGCTGTCTGGGACCGCTGGATTGTCGGCGTGTTCGCAGTGCCTCAGTTGTTCAGTTGTGTCACGTGGCAAGTGGCACGTTGCACTCGCTTTTTTTGGTTCGTTCCTCCGTTCCGTTCCTCCTCTGCATGGAGTGATGAGTGTGTCTGTGGGTGTTTTTCGCTGTGCGGTCGCTGTCTGCTCCGTGTGTGTTTGCGTGCGCTGCGGGTGGTGCGGCTTTGTAGTTTACTGAAGTCGTGCTGGGACACCTGAGTGGATTCGTGTATGGGGCGCTCTGGATTGTGGGGCGCGCAGTCGTTTTTTGATGGGGTTGGAGGCTTAAGAGCGCGTCTAATATCCCGGAAAATAAGGTAGTTGGAAGCTATAATTTCATTTTATGCCATACCATCACCCTATACCAGACCTGGGCACTGTGCAGCTCCCAGGCTCTTTGGTTGACTCTGACCAGCCCGTAAAAGATCATTTGGAATTACAAAATAAACATATTTTATCATGTAACCTCACGCAGCTGCATTGCTTTTATTTTAGAGGTGTTATTTAAATACGTTTTTTTTGTAAGGCAGCCTCACTTTTTCATTGCTTAGTCATAACACCTCGCTGTCTCCTCCACCTCGCTGTCTCCTCCAAGGTGAATATAAGCATGAACAGAGCGTCTAATTCATGCATCTGTAGCGACTTCAACTGAAAGTTCCAGCAGCACATTGGATTTGATGCTTTGTATGTGAGCACAGCATTAGGGCAGAATTGTCAACTGACTCGGGCAAGTTCTGTTTTGAGTGTTATGTGTTATTTTGTGTTTTATAAGGACTCACTTTTGCAGGACTTCCCGTCACTGCCGAGGCTGAACCCCGAGCGGCACCGACAGGTCCGAGTCTTGTGTCCGTTACCAAGGAGACAGATGTCAGAGCAACCACCGGGTTTACCAAACTGATCCATCTCACAAGCATGGCTCCGCACTGAGGGGGAGAGAGACGGAGAGAAAAACAGATTTAATTATTTTGCAGTGACCTTTGTTGAGTATTCTTCTTAAAGGTCCTGTATTATGTAAAATTGACTCTTGTGAGCTTTTAGTCATGTGTAATGAAAAAAAAAACATACCTGGAGTTATGTTTTGTTTCATTCCCACATGTTCAGGTTGTCTACAGTACATCTCCTAAGCCCAAAATGCTCTGTTCAACTTTGTGATGTCATGAAGTGGTAGTTTTCATGTTAACAAATAACTTTTACCTTTAGACTGAAATTATCCAAATGATTCTAGTGAAGGTGTATGGAGTTTACAAACACAGTGGAGCACTTCCTGTATTACTACATACAAGTGGTACAGAATGATTTTGGTTTGAGAAAAGAAGTCAGCCTAAATGTGCAGGGTTTGTATGTGACTAAACTAAAGGTAAAAGGTACTGTTAACTTAAAAACTGCCGCTTCATGACATCACAAGATGGAATAAAGCAGTGGTTTTCAATAGGTGGGGCCTGCCTTCCCTGGGGGGCGCCAAAGAGCCACTGGGGAGGCATGGCACACTCAAAAAAAAAAAAAAAAACGGTCCACATCTGTACATCTGCAGCAGTATTGATATCGGTAATTGTGCGTGCCTGTATTAGCTGTAAAATTGTCGCCCCTCTGACAACCTACTCACAGTCTTGAGCATCACCTTTTTTACCTTTTCTGCCGCATGGACTGTGCCTCTAAACCAAAACTAAAACCAGGACTAAACCAAGACTAAACCAGGTTGAAACCAGGTTAAAGCCAGGTCGAAAGTCAGGACTAAACCAGAACTAAACTAGGACTAAAACCAGTACTAAACCAGGTCTAAACCAGGACTAAACCAGGACTAAACCGGGACTAAACCCGAACTAAACTAGGACTAAACCAGGACTAAACTTATGACTAAAACCAGAATTAAAACCAGGAGTAAACCAGGTCTAAACCTGGACTAAAATAAGGACTAAAACCAGGACTAAAATCAGGACTAACATCAGGACTAAACCAGAACTAAAATCAGGACTAAAACCAGGTCTAAACCAGGACTAAAATCAGGACTAAAACCAGAACTAAAACCAGGAGAAAACCAGAATTAAACCAGGTCTAAACTTGGACTAAACCAGAACTAAAATCAGGAATAAACCCAGGACTAAAACCAGGAGTAAACTAGGTCTAAAACAGGACTAAAATCAGGACTAAAACCAGGTCTAAACCTGGACTAAAGCAGGACTAAACCAGGACTAAAATCGGCTGTCTTTACCCACTCACATTCACCCAATTTGAAAACCCTTGGAATAGAGCATGTTGAGTTTCGGAGATGTAGACAGACTAATAATAAAGTGTTACTCAAACATACAAATAAAACAAAACACAACTCCAGATCTGTTTTTGAGGAGGTAACAGCATTATAACAGGACTTAAAGCTCACAAGAGTCCATTTTGCGTAATAACAGCACAGTTCCCGTGCAGTGTGTCTCACCGGGGGGTTGCCTCCTCTGGTGGTACACGTGCAGAGCTCCGCCCTTGTCCACGCGCGTCACCACCTGGTAGTCGGAGCTGTTGAAGCGGTTCACTCGGATCACGCTCGTCTTCGGCTGCATGTTGGCGTTGTCCGAGTTTGTGGCGTATAGGTAATTTTCAAACACCGTCAGACCGTACAGGTGTTCGATCTGCACACAGCAAGAGAAACACAAAGAAAGATATCAATTTAATCATAGGGAAATTTTCCAAAAGACTGTTACAAACATTCTAATATTAAGAGTTCAAAGACATCGTGGAAACTAATATCCATTACGTAGATGTTTTAAGAAAAAAGCACATTTAAAACGGAAGATTCTGTGAAATATTTTAACAACTTTGCATTTACAAAGTTTGTGATCTTATTATCTGCCCTGAGCAAGCTTTTAAATATTTAATATACCGTATTTTCCGGGCTATTAGACACTCTGGATTATAAAGCGCAAGTTTGGCGCATTCACGGTGACTCTGGGCTTTGTTCAGTTGTGGCGTGTAGGGAGGGTGCTGTCTGGGACCGCTGGATTGTCGGCGTGTTCGCAGTGACTCAGTTGTTCAGTTGTGTCTAGAAGTGACACATTGCACTCGCTTTTTTGGTTCATTCCTCCATTCTGTTCCTCGTTTGCGTGTAGTGATGAGTGTGTCTACATGTGTTTTTCGCTGTGTGGTCGCTGTCTGCTCCGTGTGTGTTTGCGCTCTGGATTATAAGGCGCACTGTCATTAAATGGTCTATTTTCGAACTTTTTTTCACAAATAAACTGCCCCGGACTTTAAACTAAACACAATTAACACAGTTAGATCAGGTCAGTTGGTGGGTTTGGTTCGTTCACGGTGACTCTGGGCTTTGTTCAGTTGTGGCGTGTAGGGAGGGTGCTGTCTGGGACCACTGGATTGTCGGTGTGTTCGCAGTGACTCAGTTGTTCAGTTGTGTCTAGAAGTGGCACATTGCACTCGCTTTTTCGGTTCTTTCCTCCGTTCCGTTCCTCGTCGGCGTGGAGTGATAAGTGTGGCTGTGGGTGTGTTTCGCTGTGCGGTCGCTGTCTGCTCCATGTGTGTTTGCGTGTTCTGCGGGTGGTGCGGCTTTGTAGTTTACTGAAGTCGTACTTGGACACTCGGGTGGATTCGTGTATAGGGGCGCTCTGGATTGTGGGGCGCGCGGTCATTTTTTGATGGGGTTGGAGGCTTAAGAGCGTGCCTAATAGCCCGGAAAATACAGTAATTTTTTTTCTGAAAGTTTGAGTCATTGTTCCATACATTGCAATGACAAAAAAAATCTCGTTCTGAGCAGTACTTCCCACAGTGGTATAAAAATATGGATGATTTCTCTTCTTTATGCCGTTTGCATCCTCAGATATGAAGTAAACATGTTTCACTCATAATAATAAAGTTACGTTCACGTCCCAGAATTCAATGTCATAATTTCAGATGGAGAGCAGGGGCCTATAAAACACCGGGAGATTCACTGTTTTTGGAAGAAATATTCAAACTTAATAAGCTGCAAATGTTAAATTGTCTTAAAGTCTTTTTGAAATGACAGATCACATCATTGGGCTTGACACCATTTTCTGAAGTTATTGTGATGTATTTTGTTTGTTTTGTTCATTTCTGATGACAGAGACTGTGTTGAACTCTGTGCCAGTTTTTGTTTCATGTGGATAGTCACAGTAATTATAGAAATATGAACCATAAACAGTGATGTGCGATGAGATTTACAGCTGGTGAGTTAGTGCAGTAAACTCAAAAATGTGGATGTCTTCATGTCTGATGTCTGTGTTCTTTAAAACACACAAGAATCACCTTTACTAATAAAAACGTTAAGCTTTAATCAATTATTTTGTTCAGGCACAAAAAAAAACATGAACCCTGATTATTCACATTAAAGACGAGCAAATTGACCAAGTGAGCTTCTGTTCATAGAGTATTAGCTGAGTTGGTTGATTCCTTCCTGCACATAGTTTGTGGACAGAATCTCTACATTAGGATTATAGTGAAAGTGTTTGCTAATGAATTCTTTAGTTGTAAAAAGTCTCTGTGCAGTTTAATTTCACACAGTTTGGTTTAAACTTGTAGTGCATATTTCTGTATTAACCCTGCATTCGATTTTCCGAGGAAGTTGCCCAGCGACACGCATGCCACGCCCCTTTTCCTGGGACAGCACAACTCGGATCTCGGTGGTGGAAAAAGTTGACCGATCAAGGATTGTCAGAATCCAAGATGGCTACGCCCACTGTGACGTGTAAATATGAAGTGTTTTCATTGTGTTTGGACACTTTGGTGGTTTAAATGAAAATTTCAGTCACTCGTATCACTGCGGTACTTTACGACGTCCAGATCACTGCCTGTGGGTGTGGTAGTTAGTTGTAACGGAAGAGAAGTCATAACATAAAATGAAGTGCAAATTTCTAAAATTAAATTAATTAAAGTAGCAGCGATTGCAAGATGAGGGAATGGTCATAATCATAATCCACGAAGTCCGATACACGAAACATAATACACTTCAAGCTCGGACATCACGTCAAATCCAAGGTCCAAATGGGAGTTGGAAGATAATCGTATGCAGGGTAAATGTGCAGCCACAGACACGCCCCCTCACGCAGACACGACACGCCCCTTACTCACTAAACATGCATAAGACTATCTGTCTTGAAGACAAAGTGCTCAAAAATAGTTCATATATAAGCTATTTTATAACTTTAATTGGAAAAACAGTAATGGAGCACTGAATGGCCACACTCTGTGCCCTGTGTATGTGCTGCGCTGTCTCACCTTCTCCCCTAATGACAAATCACTGACCATAAACCAGGTCAAAAAATCTGCAACCTGACAGTTAAACAGCAAAATTCACCATAGAATACTGACCTGTCCTCCAGCTCAGTTTAAGTCACAGGGACTTGACAAAAAACATTTTACATGTTGGGCAATTCTTATAATAACACTGCTTAAAACAACCTACAAAGTGAGAATCTTTAACGCAAACAGGAGCAGACAAGCAATTCCTTCAGGCTCTTGCAATACAGATTTAAATGTATTTTTATTGTGTAAAAGTACAAAGGGAAACGGCATTTGAAACATATTTTCTATTCAGAAACTGTGTGTCCTCACTCAAACTCAAATGTGATGCAACCATTTCACAGAACAGTCCTACAGCCCCACAGCAGAGTGGAAGTGCAATTTAAACGGATGAGTTCAACATTTTGTGGAGTTGTCATGGAGAGAGACCGGAAACTGAAGGCCAGCTCCACACAGGCTACAGAGGAGTGTGCTTATGTAAAACACTGACAATGTTAACCTGCCCAGCATCCTATCGCTGGTAAAATATTCAAATTGTATGGATAAAAATGATTTATCTAAACTATTATTAGTGTCATAATATTCAAACTTCGATACTAAGGAATAGACTCGATACTCAATACCAATTCCACAGGGTTAGGGTTAGATAATAAAAAATAATAATTTCTTTAGACAATAGAATGCTATTTTCAACATTAAATCATAATACCGTATTTTTCGGACTATAAGGCGCAGTATCAATAATGTTGAATTCTCTCATCTATTTTCATACATAAGGTGCACCGGATTATAAGGAGCATTAAGAGAAACAAACGGACGACACTTGAGGCTGATCATCAGCCCAGGCGTCCACGATCCACTGTCAGATTGTGGTGTTATTCGCACGGCATTACCTCTCTGTCTTGGTGAATGTGGATTATGAATGTGAATGTGGGTGGATCGTTTAAGGTTTTTGTTTTTTTTTTCCTACGAGAGTGACTCAAATATACACTGAGTAATAATGTGTTTAATGCAGCTTTGCACACACTTGTTTACATTTTACAGAAACTAAACTTAAATCCACGCCTACAGGAAGTAACAACAGCTGAACAGTTCTGAAGGTGGCTTGTAGCTAGCAGCCGAAACATGTCAACAAGGTAAATACACTTTACTGTATTGTCTTAAGGGTTAGGGTTAGGGTTAGGGTTAACCCTTTAAAAAGAACCCAAGAAGTTGAACTTAAAACCACATGGCTCATTTGCATAAACTATAAGTGCTGAAAAAAACAGCTCGCTCCTGTGGTCAGCTTCTGTCGGACTAAAGGACACGACTCCGCAAGGTTCCGGGACTACGTTAGCTGTAATGCTCTGACAATTCATCAAGCGGTGTGGCTTTGTAACTTACCAAAGTAGTACTAAAACATTTTGACAGATTTTTGAGTGTTGTGTACCACATAAAATTGGTTAGTAGGTCAGTAAGCACACCCAGAATTAATACTGTATTTTCTGGGCTATTAGGTGCACTCTTAAGCCTCCAACCCCATCATGCGTGCCCCGCAATCCAAAGCGCCCTACACACGAATCCACTCGGGTGTCCCAGCACGACTACAGTAAACTACAAAGCCACACCACCCGCAGAACACGCAAACACACACGGAGCAGACAGTGACCGCGCAGCGAAACACACCCGCAGACACACTCATCACTCCACGCCGATGAGGAACGGAACGGAGGAACGAAACCGAAAAAGCGAGTGCAATGTTCCACTTCTAGACACAACTGAACAACTGAGTCACTGCGAACACGCCGTCAATCCAGCGGTCCCAGACAGCACCCTCCCTACACGCCCAGAGTCATCGTGAACATGCCAAACAAAGTCCCACTGACCCATCCAACTGTTGTGTTTCCTTTAAAGTCCGGTACTGTTTATTTGTGAAAAAAGTTCAAAAATAAACCATTTATTGACAGTGCACCTTATAATCCAGAGCGCCTAATACCCCAGAAAATACAGTACATAAAATGCACTGGATTACAAGGTGCACTGTTGATTTTTGAGAAAATTTAAGGATTTTAAGTGCACCTTATAGTCTGAAAAATGCAGTACTTTCTATTCCCATGTGTCTTATATGTTTGTAATCTCAGAGGTCCAGGTAGGTTCATAGTGTCCATGTGTGTATACTAGTCTATGTGCTCTTATACTTGTTCGATATAGCTCCAGATCATTTTACTAATTAATAACTATTAACTATTAAACTATCCAGAAAAGGTTCATTTCTGTCCTGAATGATGTGTTTTAGTATTTCTTATCTGCTTTTTGAAACTTTTGACCCTAGTATAGCACAGATAAAGTGTAATCTTGGCACATCAGGCATGTGCTTAGAGAGAGGAGAGACCTCACAGTGTCTGGCGTATTCCAATTCATAAACTCATCCAATAAAAACAATAATTGAGTTTACTGAATTAAATAAAAATCGTTTTGCTTAACCGAACACACCTTACAGCTTTACCTCCAGATCTCATTTCGTTTTTCACCCAAACTCGTCTATAAAAGCCAGTTTATCCGCGTCTGGCTGTGACCTGAGGCTTCAGTTAAATGAAACCTCTTTGTCTTGGCGGTTGGACACAGTTGGACAGGTTTAAGGATGTGTCTGCGCTCCCACACTGAGAGCGCACTATTACACAGTATTAATCAGCAGAGGTAATGAAACAGGAAGCACCGCTTTGTCTGAGATCGTAACTCAGGCCGAGAAAAACAGAGGATTTCACACCAGAGGAACATAAGGTGATTTTGGGAGAGATACAAAAGAGCTATAAACATAAGGAGGTGTCTGAACTGGAAAGATCCAGTACAAGCACAATGAATTATATATAACGTGACCCAAAAGTAGATAACTTTTTTCGACTAGGCAATTTAAAGTTTGCTAAAACCTACATTTAATGGCAAACATACAGGTGACTAGGTAAATATTGTCGGTCTAAGTGTCGGTTTGTGCTCTGTCTGTGCATATATACAACCGTGTATCACTCCAGAGTCATATTTTTGCCGACTTTACTTGTTTTTTTTCTATTATTGTGCAAAACCTTCACTAAAAATAAAATGACAAATAAGCGTGAAGGTGACTAGGCTGCACAATGAATTGCAAACAAATCAAAATAGCTTTTTAAACTAAGGATCCTGGAAGTATTTGCTGGATCAGATATCGGTTTACAAATATCGCTTTCCAATATTGTGGCAGGACATATAAATTGATGTAATAAAACTATTTATTGGTTGTAGTTGACCCAGAAAGTCTCATAATGTTTGAACTTTTAATTACACAAAGATGTTCTGTAGTTACGTAAGAGGTAAATTACAGCTACATAACACATTTGGATCATTCCTGTCTTTTTTTTATTTGGATTTAAAGGGACAGTTCAGAATTTTGAACATAGGGCCTCATTTCCTAGTGAGCCAGAGTGTTGGAGACGTGTGGAGACACTTTTTAAAATATTCCATCCAGTCCTTGTATTTGCAGAGGTCGCTGGTGCTAGGCTAGTGCATGTCAATGGCCATAGTTCTCCTGCCACTAAAAACAATCTTACCCACTCCACAAAACACCCGAAACAAATCTATTAATACACCAGACTGTCCATGTGAATGTCTGTGTCGACAGAATAATGTTTGAATGTTGAGGGACTATTTTCTCACATATCAGTCCGCCGCTGCCGAGCTTTCTAGCAGGATGTACAACTCACTGCTGCTGCTCAGACATAAATCCTTCAAATGTAAGTTTGGTTTTACTTCTAAAATTATTCTATCAACACAGACATTCACATGGACAGTCTGGTGTAATAATAGATTTGTTTCAGGTGTTTTGTGGAGTGGGTAAGACTGTTTTTAGTGACAGGATAATTATGGCCATTGAAATGCACTAGCCTAGCACCAGCGACCTCTGCAAATACAAGGACTGGATGGAATATTTTAAAAAGTGTCTCTACAAGTCTCCAACACTCTGGCTCACTAGGAAATGAGGCCCTATGTCCAAAATTCTGAACTCTGGTATCAGTAGATACTTGCAGCTTTGATAATGAAATCAGAATTGGAACTGAAAAAGATGGATTGGTGCATCTTTAATTTAAACTGCTGCAATAGGATTGTAACAGGACATTGTAAATAACTACACTTTGCGGTTTGATATAAAGCAGAGGTTAAAAGTATTCATGCATTCCTCACCAGTAGTCCCTGTATGATGGTGTGGCGGTTCTTGCCCTCGTAGTCCACCACCTCGATGTAGTCCAGGTAGGCGTCAGCCCAGTACACCAGTCTGCTCACCAGGTCCAGAGTGATGCCATGAGGAAACACAATCTTACTGTCCACCAGCTTAGTGCGGTTCTGTCCGTCCATATCACAGCGCTCCACTTTAGGGATCTGACCGTAGTCTGTGAAGAACACCTTCCTACACACACACACAAAACACACACAATGCAGAGGACTGAGTTACTGACACTTTGACTCGGCATAACAATTATATCAGTGACAGTCCTCTGCAAAAGAAACTGAATCTGTCAACAGGACAAAAGTTTTTAGGAGTGGATACGTTTTGCATTTATGTAAGCGGCTTCACTTCTGCCTATATATCTTTTTACTGATACTTTGCAGCTGATGTCATGTGCTAACTGAAGGCACTACTCTGTCTGAAGCTCTGTTACTCAAGTTAGTCTTTAATCTGAGTTTTGTTTTAACACAATCTGACCAGAGAGAGCTGACTAACTTCCAACTACAACTAAAATGGTTTATGCTGTTAAACAAGCCCCTCTAAAATAACACTTCTGTTTTTCAGTTAGTCACCCTCACAGTTTTTGTTCTAAATCAAACAGTAAAATGGGTCCATGAACACATGTAGACCTTTTTCACAAAGGCCAGAAGTGCGGCGATGTCGGGTAAACGTCACTTCCAGTTAATGGTTTTCTGTGGCAAAATATCTGTGGAAACGTCTCGTGTATTTTCCACCAGCTTCATAAATCTGCCCCATCACCAAATCTTCAACCAACGAGGTTCACAAAGGATTAACATTCTACCATGAAGAATTTATCCACAACTATCAAGGGAAGAAAGACGAAAACTTAAAGGAGAACAACATTAGTGAACTACTGAACAAAACTAATGTTATGGTCAGGAATAAACAGATGTAACTTGTTAACTCAGACTGATTCTACAATTAAAATTAAAAATCGATTTCATGATGTAGATATTAAAATAGACAGAGAGATTTGTACAGTTTGAATATAAGACATGTAATCTGTGAACATCTGTAGAATTCAAACTGCACAAATCTCTCTGTCTATGCTAATATCAACATCATGCAATCGATTTCTTTATTTTAATTCTAGAATCAGTCTGAGTGAACAAGTTTTAAGAAATGACTTATTACTTATGTTTTATTCCTGACCATAACGTTAGTTTTGCTCAGTAGTTCAATAATGTGTTGTTCTCCTTTAAGTTTTCATCTTTCTTCCCTTGATAGTTGTGGATAAATTCTTCATGTTAGAATGTTTATCCTTTGTGGACCTTGTTGGATGAAGATTTGGTGATGGGGCAGATTTATGAAGCTGCTACGGCAAACATTTCCACAGATATTTTGCCATAGAAAAGCACTAACCAGAAGTGACCTTTATCCTACATCGTGGCACTTCCTACCGTTGTGAAAAAGGTCCTGACAGTGTCATTTTGTGTTTTTTCTTGAGTTTTCAGACAATTTGAAAATGTAATTTGACAGTGTTTGCTAATGTGTGCATTGTGTCACCATGCTAACTGCTAAACATTTTGCCATTGACATACATGCAGTACACCCTCTGTGTGATGTCACTGCAAAGAATCATTATTTATCTGGAACCATTCAAAACTGAAAAAGCCTCTTGGATGTCTGGCATTTTCAGCAACCCTCTACATGAGGCTTTTAGAAAACTTAAAATGAGTGTAAATAGGATCATAGCATTAACATTTCAGACAGCCTAAAAACTTCTGTCACTTGATAGAATAATTTTTTCCCACCCCACCAGCCACCGTCACCCATGCTCCCAACTGGCAGAAATATATACAAAGGCAGGATACAAAACAATACACTAGAACTTCACAAACCTGGCGTGAAGTGTAGTAGTTTCATTCATTCATTGTGTTGTGATAGATAGAAGGGGGAAGTGACTAAGACTACGTTCAGTCTGCAGCCTGAAGTGACCCAATTCTGATTTTTTCGCTCCTGTATCTGATCTTTTAATGACAGTCTGAACGATACAGATTCGATTTTTTTAAATGCGACCCAGGCCACTTGGATATGTGCTCCTAAAACCGATACATATCTGATCTTTTGACGCATGGCTTCAGTGTGAACGGTCAGGTCACATTCATCCCACCTACACGTCAGGCTCAGAGTCTCGTCAATGGAGGGAAAGTGAGGTTAGCGAGATTATTAATATTTGGAGGGATCGCTGTATTCAGGCCAAATTAGAGGCGTTTTATCAGAACTGGGCGTTTTTTTAAATGATTACCAAAGAAATGTCCGAGCGCGGATACAGTCGGTCCTGGCTCCAATGTCAACGAAAATAGAGACCTTGCAAACCAAATACAAGGAGGCTGAAGATGCAAACAAACAAAGCAGCTGTGGACATGTAACCTGTCCATTTTACCAACAACTGGAGCGTATTTTGGGAGATAAGCCCAACGTTTAGGCGATTTCCGTACACTCTGAGCACTCTCACTGCGTGCGATGTCGTCATGTCCTCCGATGCTCATGTGGGATACTTTTGGGGTGTTTAAAGTTCACACTGGAGAGCATTTACATGTCATATTTAATTAGAAATGTGAACAACCTCGAAAAAAAATTGGATTTCACAAAAAAATCCGAATTGAGCAGTCTGAATGTAGTCTTTGTGTGGGAAGCAAAGGAAAAGGGGACTCCAAAAACAAAACTGAAACGAATTAAACATTTAAATACGTTGTTTTCTTTTGCAAATATAGCATTTTCAGAACAATAAAAGGTAACACTGTGATCTAAATATGTTATGTGTTAGCAGTTAATACCCCATACCCGCTCTTTAAAACAACAGTCTTTTTAGAGGTCATGGACAGTGAAAAAAACTGCACATGTATTCCCTAAAACAGCTAAAAATAAAGCCCGTCACACTGGAATATTTAAATGAGCTGAAGTTATTAACCTTGGTCTCCGTGCGCCTTTCCAGACACAGTGACGCTATGTGGAGATGAGACTGCTCCAGGCCAAACAGCTCTGCACAGACCTCCATCAGCGCGTGTGGACTTTATTATTGTTAGTCCCATTTCCTTTGACTGTGATAACGCCAACAAAGAAATGATGTAGCAAGTGAAATCGGACTGTTGTTATTAAGGCAATTATAAAGAGGATACAGACAGGGGAGCGTCTTTGTCGAGCACAAACACCATCTGTAATATATATGTGTGTGGATTAGGGGTGTCAAGATAAGATTATTAAAAGAGCTTCAGACAGAGCGATGCCTCCAGTTAGCTTCGACCTCTAAGAGTTGCCGTGGAAATGACCTTCGAGGACTGTTGGACGATGCCCTGTGAAAACTTCTGGGGTTGTGGACTGTAATTACTTGATCAACTTAGTGTTTGATACGTGACAGAAGGAACAGTATTTTTAGGGGTCACTTTGTTTCTATGTACTTCTAATGCACGAGCAGCTTCTTGTTTCTTTTCTTTTTTCTGTGTTATACCATTTAAGGGTCAAGTAATTAAAGAGACAGTATTTTATTTGACTTCTATTGGGTATTAATCACCAACACGTAACATACAATATTTTGATCACCATATTAATTTGAATTGTTGTGAAAAAACCAAAAAAACAACATATTAACATGTTTTTTTTAAGTTTCAGTTTTGTTTTTGATGCTCTGAATCTAAAGTCACTCCCCCTTCAGAGCACTATGATGTTACAATCAGTGTGCAACGTAATATTGGTGCACATTGCATCAGGTTTGTGAAGTTGTAGTGTATTGTTTTGTGTCATGCTTTTGTATATTTATTGAGAATTGTGGTGTGGAAGCATGGGGATGTAGGCTTGTGGGCGGAGCATTGGACAAATCAGACAGCTGACTATACGGAGGGCTTGAATAGTGCCTGGGAGAGATCGCTAAATTACTCAGATATACATGGATGACATATAAAACTTTTTCAGACATGTTTTTGATTGATTTTGAGGAGTTTTGATGAGTGAACACAGCCAGGAAGATCATTGGTGCACCACTCCCCTTCCTGCAAGAAATATCCACCATCCACCTCACCTGCAAAGCCATCATAACTGTGAGTGATGCAAGTCACCTCGCCCACAGTCTGTTCAGCCTCCTGCCCACTGGGAGGAGGAACATGAGTTTCAGCTGTTCCCGCACCACAAGACTCACCACCAGGCTGTTAGGATGCTGAACTCTCTCCCCTCTCTACCCACCAGGCTACCAGGAATCTAGGAATCTGTGTTTTCCCCAAAGAACATTTGGACTCTGTCCCCCTGACCCCCCCTAAAAAAGACTAAAGTTTTGTGACTTTCACTATATGCCTTTTGCAGTTTTGCACTATTTACATTTATTATTTTGTATTTATATGCTTGGGAGTGAGAAGCACAATTTCAATTCTTTATGTTTTTCATATGAAGAATTGACAATAAACGTTTTTGAACTTTGAACTTGAACTTGATGAGGGAACAATGTTATAACATGGTGCAAAGCTCCAAAAAAAACATTTTGCATATACCCCCTCTTTTACTTGTCTGTGGCTTATTATAAATGTCAACAAGTTCTGGTCAAAAACAGTCAAGTGTGTGTTCCTTCCAGTGGCCTCTCCAAGTTCAAGTACTATGTGATATCACGAAAGACTGCCCTGACTGTTTCTGATGACAAACACCTGTCTGCAGATACTTTTTAGAACAATCACACTGTTCCTTCACCCCCCAAACCGCTGCCCAGTTTAGCAGCTCTGTTTGAAAAGTGGTAAGGGGCGGAGTTTAGGTGTTTAATCCCACTTTTAAATCTCACAATATTATATGAAACAATATACCGTACATGAAAAAGTGTTCTCGTAGCATGTTCACTGTGTACTGACCCCATGTTTGGATCCAGAGCGATGCCTTTGGGGTTGTACAGTTCCTGGTCGAGGAGAGTCACGCAGGTCTGTCCCTCTCGGTCACACACAAAGATGCGATCGTCCACGTCGTCCACAAAGTAAAAGTTCCCCGTGAGCCAGTCGATCGCCATCTGCTCCACATCTGCACAAGGACACGACAGGCTCTGTGAGAGGCATCCAGCGTGGAGCACAGTCAAAGCATGTTTGTATCATTACACACTTATTAACTCTGTGCAAAGCTTTACAAAACAACACATTAGCACAAGTGAAGATTTCTAACTTGGAACATTAAAACATTATAAAGTAAACATTAGGGATGGTTTAAATATTGATTCTAGTATTGATAATGGCTGAAATCTATACTAATTTGTTGATTCTCAATGCCGGTATCCAATTCTGATATGTTTGCGCACTGACCCACTCTCTGTGTGGCCTTTTTGTACAGACTTATGACTCAAAATGAAAACAGAAAAGCATGATATGGCTGCATGTTTACACAATCATGTAACAAATTATTTTAAATGCCGCTGAAATACATTTAATTATTTTTACAAAAGAGAAAAGTTTGTGATAATTACTTTCACTTAAGAAACTTCTGAGGATAGATTTTAAAAGTGAATTACCGGTATTGACAAATATCGGTAATCAGTCACAGCAGTAGGCTACTTATCGGTTATCAGTATCCGCTCAAAAAATCCATATTCATGATGTAACTAATAACATTCAAAGACTTCAACATTGGGCCGTTGTTTGCTGTAATGGACAAGCCAGAAGAAATGGCATTTGAGAAAGGACTGAAATAAAAACAAGGTTAAACTTCAAAAATCAAGTGCTGAGGGAATGTCTGACGCAGGGGGATAAATCTCTCAGTATTACGAGATTCAATTCTGATTAAATTCTTGGAGATGGGATTTGGTTTATTTATTTTAAAAAAGCAAATCGAAATGTGATTTAGACAATTCTCTTTACAAATATACAGTAATCCTGGAGAGACGTTTTAATCTTACAAAACAATGCATTCTTTTTTTCAAGATGCTCGGTCGTTTATTCATTTTGTACATTATTAATTAACTATTATTAATTAATTTTTAGTCCATCCTCACAGCTGCCCTGGACTAGATAGAGAGAGTCTTCCACCAATACTCATACACCACATTTATACTGGGCAAACTGTAGTGAGGTTATAAGAACAAGAACACAACAAGAAACTCAAATCACTGACCTTTGAGTTGGTGGGTGAATGCTATAAGTTAGGGCCCGACTGATATATCGAATGGCCGATATCATCAGCCAGTATGGGCACTTTGAGACATATCGGCTATCAGCCTAAATCTTGTTGATATGGGCCAATAGTCCACGAGGGTAGGTTATACCTCATTATAAAACTTAGACTGTCTATATTATGTTCATTTAATCCAATTTACAGACATGTCCTAATATGTGGCGTCGCATCAATATTTATCTGCGGAGTCATTTGTCTGTGTGTGTGACGCCGTACGGCCACAGTCACATCACTCACGTGCGCTTGTTTAGATCCATTGAGGCGCTGCTTTTAACGCTCTTGAGTCTAATCCACAATATGGACTGACTATGAATAAATTTAACTTCAGTGCAGTTTAGGCCAGCAACAAAACTACTACTTGTTTTTATCAAACTTATTTGTGAAGACTTGTGATCTGAGAGGAGCCTGTGTGAGCAGGGAGTGTTACAAATGTGTTGGTTTTGGAGCTTCTTTTGGTTCTTTCTCATTAGTTAGCTCTTGGCTGCTGTAGCTCCCACATAAACTGTCTGTTTTCTCTGACATTGGCCTAGTGTAAAGTTACTATAGCGTCTGTACATGTTACTGGACCTGCACTGATACGTAATTGAGCTGTGAATCGAGGTGTGAATGGTTGGTATTTACACATATAATTAATTACTGCGGCGTGCACGCATTTACTACTAAAGTCTTTTAGCAGTAGTTTACTTACTTTCTTTACTGGTGAGAATGTCATGGAAAAATTCCATTAGGCTGACCCACTGTCTTTAAATATGACATAAAGAGGCAGAATAACAGTAAATGTCACCTAAACAAATCAAGTTTAAAATCCAGTAGAGCCAGACCTAAGTTTTATGATCAACTGAAGATTTACAATGAATTAACATCACAAAATATATATCGACTTTTATATCAGCTATTGGCTCTTCCAACTCCCAATTTATCGGTATCATATTGGCCGCAAAAAAATACATATCGGTCGGGCCCTATCTATAAGCCACTGACATATTTTGTGATTGGTGAACTACAGCAGTAAGGGAAGACTTAACTAGCTCTTTAGTAGATAGGAATATTAATAATGTCTTCTTAATAAAATTATTTAGTTTTTAACCTATATCAGATATTATAAGTAATACATCCTCTCTTACTCATACTGTCTGGAGTACGTGAAAAACGAAATCATGGAAGAAATCTCCACTGTTTATCTAAAAATGTCAACAATGCAAGCAACTTTAAAGGTCCCATATTATCCTGAATATTTACAGTTCTTCTCTCCACCTTATGATGTCACATGGTAATAAAGTGCTCAACTGGGTTTTTAAATTCTAGACACCTTCACTAGAATCATGTGGATAATTTTAGCTTCGGATTTGCCAACTTGAAAACTACCACTTTACAAGGTGGAACAGAGCATTTTGAGCTTTGGAGATGTAGACAGACTAATAATAAAGTGTTACTCCAACATGTGAATGAAACAAAACACAACTCCAGGTCTGTTTTTGATGAGTTAACAACATTCTAACATGGCCTAAAGCTCAAAAGAGTCCATTTTGCAAAATACAGGACCTTTATGTCATTTCCAACTCAAGCATTTCTAACCACATGTAATGCTATAATAAAGGTTAAGGTCTGGACTATTTTCCATACGATTATCCCACCACCAAGTCCCACCCTCTGACGCAGCACCAGCACCTATAGACCCAAACCCACGTCCCACCGCCGCACCAACAGAGACCACGCCGACGAAAAGGTAACAAGAGAGGGATCGCTGAGAAAAAAAAAATCCAGAACATAGACCGGACCACAGGGGAAGAGAGCTTAAATCAGGTGAAGAATCAACACGGAACATTAATAGAGCTGTAACTTTGGGTCATTCTGTGGTGCCACTTCCTTCCTTCAGTCAAACAACCGCCCCCGACCACAGCCCTCCAGGAGACACAGGGGCTATTGTTCAAATCAAAGACGAGAAGGTGTTTCAAATGACTTGGTTTGAGCTGAAGTTAACATCAGCAGACTATTTCAGTGCTCAGACCCTCCACAGTTTTGTAGGGATGTAACAATGTCGAAATCTGTCTGTACAATATTTTATGCATCTCACGGTTCGATATTTATTACGGTGACTGTGAATGTGCTACTTTTTTGTCTGAAAATGCCTTGACAAGATTTAACCCAAAGAACCAAGATTTAAAAGTGCTTAAAACAGTTATTTCTTTATGTAGTCTGCACTGAAACAGAGCAAAAGATCATGCTCTTTGTTGTTTTTGGCTATTTCCGCATAATAATAATTAATTTACGTGAAGAGACTGTAATTTGACATATTGTGAAGGTCCATATTACTGTGGAATCACTGACTATACAATTTCACAATATTTCAATTATTGTTACATCCCTCTTGTTTAGTAGCCTGATTTATCAGTCAGTTTGACTTCGTGGAAACCATTTGACCTTACAGCATTAGGATTCGTTCACTTGATGGTAGGTGGGTACTTTTTTATTTAACCAATCGTTGCTATTTGGTCATGACGTATGTAATGCGCTAAATCTTGTAGGAAAAAAGGGCAATAATGTCTTTCTCCTTGATAAAATTCACCAAACATTCTCTTTGTTTTGGCTTTAAATCCTCAATCTCGGGAATTGTTGCCAACACAGAATGTCTGTCTTCGTCTACATCCATCTCGACGCTTTGTTTACTGTGGTGCTGTTCCACAAAATGGACCCAGACAGATGCTTAAGTTTGACATCATGGTTTCACAACTCTTCGCTGATTGGTTCTTGTAAAACCGTCTAGTGTATTCTGATTTCTGGAGAGGTCGCTGGAGAGAAATAAAATTGAGTGGAGGCAGTAGGTGGCGCCAGCCTGGCTAGGGTATCATTAAGAAGTTGCCGAAACGATACATACCTCGATACATAGGCCACAATACGATACACTTTTCGATGCCGCGCATTTTCGATTCAATATGATTTGATACGATATACTGTATTTCAAATCGATTCAATACCGTTCAGTGAAAAACAAAGGCTAAACCATGGCTGTGATACTAACAGCCCACTAAGTCTATGAAGTTTGTGCAAAGTGAATATGAAAAACAACAAATTTACTCAAAACAGTGAAAATGTCAACACAACTGTAGCTCTTACACAAATTAATTTAGTAAAATATCCCTAAAAATACTCTTGACGATATATCGATACAGCAGCCCACAATATCGATATTGTATCAGCACATTAAACAATACGATATATTGATATTTTTGCACACCCCTATTGTTTAGTGACCAGAAATGAAAAGAACAAAGTAGTAAATTATAGAATACGGTATTTAGTGTTAGTCTACCCCACATGGAGATTATGAAATAACATTATGGTGATTTTAAATCACAATATTGATCTAAAATCACGGCTCTATTGATTTAAAGGTCCTGTATTACACTATTTTCTGATCTATGTTCTAATGTTTTCTCATCACAAACAGACCTTGTGTTTTGTTTCATTCACGTATGTTTAAGACTCAAACCCTGCAGATTTAGGCTTCTGTCAAACAGAAAACACTCTGTTCCACCTTGTGATGTCACATGGTAATACAGTAAGTGCTCCACTGTGTTTTGAAACTCCATACACCTTTGACTTGAGTTCTTTGGATGATAGATGATATTAACTTGAAAACTAGCGCTTCATGACATCACAGTCCAAAACCAGGTCTAACAGGTCTAACTTACACTATCAGTAAAATAACACCAGGTGTGTGAAATGTGAGATACACCAACATACATGTGTGAAAATATGTTTGTTTGTATGAACTAGGATAGGGGAGAAAGAGGGATTGAGTCAGAGAGAGAAGAGTGAGAAAGAGGGCAGAGATTGAGAGAAGGAAGCAGAGAGATAGA